CTACAAAAAAATTATGGAGAAGTTCAATAAAACTGACGTCAATTTCGCTCATGTTGAAAAAATTGATATTTTGATACAAGCTTTTGAAAATCGTTTTGTAGACTTCAAAAAAGTTAAACCGCTATTGGACATTTTCAGCAATCCTTTCAACATTTCACCCGAAAATGCGCCGGAATTAATGCAGCTGGAATTAATAGACATGCAAAATGATGATAATTTAAGAAACAAATTTAATGAAGGTAATTTACTCAACTTCTACCGTTGCGTTGATAAAAACGCTTATAAAGAGTTGCGAATAAATGCATTGAAATGCGCAAGCTTATTTGGATCGACGTATATTTGTGAACAAACGTTTTCAGTGATGAAACTTAACAAAACGAAAAACCGAAACCGTCTGGCAAATGAAAATTTGGAAGCAATTATACGTGTGGCTACAAGTAATGTGGAGCCAAATATAAAAAAACTTGTTAGTTCAATGCAATGTCATGCATCAAAATAATAAAACATGAAATATTACATTGTAATGATTACATAATTATTACAACAAACATTTTTGAAGGTTATTTTATTTTTATCATTGTATTTCATACTATTTGAAAATAAAAAATTTTGTGTTAATAAATATTGTTTGTAGTGGCCCGTCCTTGGCTTATATTTTTCCTGAGTGGCCCCTGTTCCTTATAAGTCTGTGCATCCCTGCTCTAAACCGACGACATGGCAACTAGCCCGAAAACTTTCCAATAAGTATTAAAAAGTGTAATGAAAATAGAATCCAATTTTTCAATAAAATATCCTGTATATTCGCATTGTAATCGGAAGTATCTAGTTTATGGGGATTTTCAAAATGTGGATCTTATTAGGCGTAGGGCCGTATTTGTTCTGCTACCTTTATCGTCGTCTGTTAAAAGAGGTAACAACTATAAGAACCGTTCAAGATTTATTAGTTATAAAATCAAAACAATTTATTAATCTTCATTTCTCTGATGAAAACAGGTGAAACTATATTTAGTGAAGGTATGTTAATCCTCAATAATGTGTTGGTAAATTGAAAAACTGGAAAACTACCGAATGATGCATTTGAGTTGCTCGTCATTTCAATTTGCGCTTGAAAAATGTACAACTTGCAGATTAATGAAGCCTAAGCTAATGTTTTTATAGATGAACCAAAATTCTCTTGTTACTACCATAAAAAATCTATTTTAAGCTGTTAAAAAATAAACTGTATTAATAGATAATATCGAGTTATTCTCGGAAAAATGGTTCTGTTTCAAACAAACTCGCGAATACATAACTCAGATTAAACATTTTGTGATTGATTGATTACAATACAAATAGAACCAAACAACTGTCCGGAATTGATTTAGTTTTGAAAATATTTATTTCTCCCATTCTGATTTCGAAGAAACAATTTATTTCGGGAAGTAAATAAAGGGGATCTATTTTAACGAAATAATGCAAAGCTTTTCGTCATCGCGTTTCCCGAAAACTATTCACAAATTTAATTTTCATGTGTTGACATCCGAATGACAATATCTAAACAAAAAAGATTATAACAGCAGCTAAATGTATAAAGGGCGTCTCAAAAGAAACGCAGGATTTCATATTAAATATGAAAATGGATATTGGACAGAAATGTCCTCTGCGACTCACTTGACATACTCGATTTCTTTTAAGAAAATTTTGTATCACGCTTTAGCATGAATTTCATTGATAACTCTCCGAATTGTTGCTTTTAATTCAGCAATGGTATTTATTTGAGCAGAATAAACAGTACGTTACGATCTCCACAGGAGAAAGTCACATGGCGTAAGTTCGCATGATCCTGGTGGCCAAGTCACTTTACTGTTAAGTGAGATGAGTCGTCCATTTCTACCGTAACAAGTGGATAGTTGCACGTGCCGTATGGCAGATGGCTCCATTGTCATCCTGCTGGAACCACATGTCATCCAAATCCATGCCCTCCAAATGAGGCCACCAAAAGTTCAATAACATCTCTCGATATTGTCCTCCATTGGCAGTCACTGCGTTTCCGGCCTCATTTTCAAACATTGACGGACCAATCATCCACCAGCGTAAAATCCACACCAAACTGGCACTCTTTGGGTATACATTGTCGGTCTTGAATGACCCGAGGATTGTCTCTGACCCAAATTCGACAGTTTTGCTTGTTCACATACTCACTAAGATAGAAATTCGCCTCGTCGGTAAAGATGATTTTTTCAGAAAAATGACGGTCCAGTTATGGGTTCTCCAACATCCAATCAACGAATATCCGCGCATTAAATGGTTTCAATTCTTGGGTTAACTGAATCTTGAATGTATGAGGCAATTTCCGCCACACTATCACTCGCACAGTAGCAATATTTTCTGCTGAACGGCCAGTACGAGGCCGACTTGTTTTTTTATTGTCTGCAATCGAACCTGTTTGTTCAAATTTGGCAACTAATATTTTCTCAGTTGTTTCATTCGGGCCTTTCCTTCTACCGAAAAGCTCAGCTACATACTCTCTGTATTTGTAATGAATTTTTACAATCTTCACTCGCTCATTCGTCGTATATAGCGCTCCAATGTGTCAACATCGGAATGAAAATAGCGCACAATTCAAATCATGCGTTATTTAAGACATTCTTTATAAGGACAACCTGATAATTGCTTAAAAAAGAACAAAATTTCTGAATGCCAGTTTTCTCTTTGGTAGGTATCCAAAAAATGGTATTTATTTTTAACTAATAATATTCTGGGAAGCAACTACTCTGTGGTCGACAATTTCGTCCAGCATTCACTGTTCCCAATATTTAGTAAACAGTTAGATCATTCTTATACAGGTAGTAGAATCACCAGAGAGACCGCACGGTTTTGAGTATATTAATTCTCATCGGTATGCTATATCGACAATTAATAACATACTTTGTAGAATATATCTCATCCCTGTTGTTATTTATTGTAATATTATCCAAGTAATAAGAATCCTTTCTGTCAAATTATTTCCAAGTTTTATATTTCCTTATAATTCTGTAAATACAAAAATATAATTTAGCCATAAGATATTGATGAACCCCAACAAAATATTTGCTTTAAATAGGCTACGAAAAAGGTTACGATGCTGTTATAATAAGAAATATTTTGCTAAAGGTGTTAAAAAGTTTTCTGCTAACTTTATATTTATTGTTGCAAGACCATCTTATATAGGTATAATACAATTTTTACACAAACAAAAGTTTTTATCGCTGTTGTTAGGCGTTTTTATTACAATAACAACAAATATATGTTTGTATTACAAATAAGTGAATTTTTTAGTCTAATAAGTAATTGTTTTGCTATTATTATATGCATTTAAATAGATTCAATTATTAACTTTCTTTAAAAAAAGTTACAAGTAGAATACAAAATATATATAATTGGACAGTTTCACCATCCCTCGTTTTTAATTGTTAACTTTTTAAATATAAAAGAAAAATTATAAGCCAAAGATGATAACTCATGAACACATAGGCACTGTCAGTATACATAGGTACTCCTTAACGTAATGTATATGTTAAGGACACAGTCAAAGCTTGATTGGTTATTAATAATATTATATTACTAACATAATATAATACGTTATTTGGATGAGAGACAAACAAGGCCCCCTTCTTGTTGCAATGCTGGACACAAAATGGCTATGTAGCTCTCGTTCTGCGTGTCAACTATGATTACTACGCGCTAAAAAAAAGCTGCTGTTACTTCGCCACAGGTAAATTATTTTTAGTAGTTATTCAAGTCAATTACCTAATACAATAAGTTGTCTACTTACCCTTAGTGGAAAAAATGTTAGAAAAAATATACCTATTCACTGCAAGGTGCCCTCTAGTTCTAGTAACGCAATGATAATTGTTTTAGTAAAATAATTTTTATTAAGTTTGGCATATGATATTTTAACACTAATAAAAAATATTGCTGTTATAGGTAATACAGATTATTATCTTAGCAAAACATTCTTATTTGTCGATTTCTCTCAGGCAATGTATTTACTATGTTGTTATTTTTTTATTAAACTGTTTTGTATATGTCTTTGTTCCTTTTCTCTATACTGGATTTTTTTTATTTTAAATATCTGATTAACAATTTCCAACATATTGTACCATCGACATTGTGGACAAAAGTTTCAGTGATGAAAACATTTCTTTTCGTCATACATCTTTTTATTATTATCTTTTATACTTTTACTTTCAGACTTTTAAATTAATTTCTTTTCAAATTAAATAAATAAAAAGAACATATTTGATATTTTAAATCGTTAATATTACATTCATTCAAAGAAATTGTCTCTTATTCCTTTCGACAAAGACCAACAAAAAATCAGCCACTATAATTTAATTAATATATTTCTGCATTTTGAGGATTGTTACATTTTTATAATCAATTTGCATTAATTTAATACCTTTAAAGTAATGTATCTAACTAATTGTTCTCCTACCTTTTTAACAAACGATGTGTATTTTAGCTGCTTACAACTTTAACGGTAGAAACGTGCAGGAAAAGCCATCACAATGCAAGATAAAATTCACAATCTGTCTTTTAAATACTTAATGTAGAATATGAGTTGCATTAATACCAATCATTATAATAATATAGTAAACATTTAAATATTCTACAACTTTAAAAATTACTCAACTATCTACTGAATATCCAAAAATATCCTGCACTTCGACTTCCTGTCGCAATCACAATAAATTTTATAGAGATGCAATTACCCACATATATAAATTATGTAAATAGTAGGTAACCTCTTCATTGAGACAACATTTTTATCTGACAATTTAATAATTAATTATTACCGTTTCCTTTATTCCTATATGATTTCCTTTAAACATCACGATGCCTTTAGCTATTTAATTTAACCTTGCCTCAAAAAAATAATGTATAATTAATAATTCGTTTGTGAATGAAATTTAATGTTCTTTAATTTATTATTGAGATTAATAAAATTACTATCATAGATCCTTGCAATATATAAATGAGGTGGATTTTTCAAGACACAGACAGATCATATTTGTATTGTTGTAGTGAATAATGAAATTTTGTTTTTTTCTTTTGTGTTCATGTCTTGCCGCACCCTATGTATATTCAGCGGTAAGCTACTTCTTAGCTCTAGTCGTATTTCGTATTTTTTTAGCGGCACTCGAATTTTAGATGACAGAGAAACAGTTAAATGCTGCTAAGAAGCTCATGCGGAACACTTGCCAGAATAAAGCCAAACCAACAAGTGGTAAGTGATATACATATATCTGTTTTTTTAATAATCTAATATTTTCAACATTTAGAACAAATAGACGCTATGCAAAAAGGAGACTTTAATGGTGACAGAAATGCTCAGGTACATATTTTTATTGAAAATATATTTTGGATGATAAGCAGATTATAAAAATTTATAGCATTTACATGCACAAGTTATACCCAGAACAGGCGAGTTCTTTTAGATTAGAGAATAAGCTGAAGTAATCCTTGTGCATGGGCGTAGCTAGGAGGGCAGGGGTGTGCACGGCCTACACCCCAAGCAAAAATTATAGTTACTCCCATGTCTTCGTGTATAAAATATTTTTAATTTTAGTAACTCAGTAGTTATAGCAATAATGAAATACAGTAATTTGTAACTAATGTTTCTGCCTATTTTAGTGCTACCTTCTTTGCATACTGAGCACTTACAAATTGGTAAGGTCATGAAAGTTCGTTATTATGAATCCAGCAGTTACAATATTAGGTACATTTTAGTTAACTAAAGAAAATACGTTCGACTGGGAAAATGGTATCAAAGCTCTTGCTGCAAATGCTCCTGCCAGCGTTGCTGGCCCAGGTAGTGCCACCCTCAAGAATTGTAAAGATGCTGTAAAAACACCCAGTGATAGATGTGTGGCTTCTATGGAAATTGCGAAGTGTATATACGATGACAATCCCTCAGTAAGTATCATCACTTATAAATAGTCACTAATGGCTAAATAGATGTATCGTTTATTCTACGCTATTTACGTTGAGAAATGTTAAAAATGATTTTTTTATTTTTCAGAACTATTTCCTACCATGAGATGTTTACCTAAACAATATAGACCTAAAATAGTAATAATTGTTTTTTTATTATTTTTATGGTGTCACTTAAATTAATTATGGTTATGGCTTTTAAAATAAACATATATTTATGTACGCAGTATTTTACTTTTGTATAATATTAAAATCAAACCAAATCAGCAAACGTGTGAGAATATATTTCAGTTTATACCCGTATCTATAGTTTTATCAAAATTCAAGAACACAGCAAATAAATGAGCAAAAAACTTTATTAACTCTCAGAGTAAATAATGATAATCTTAATTCTAGATTCCGAACGCAGTGTTACACAAACGCAGCCTAATCAATAGTTCATATTTGCAGTAGTCCAAATGTTCAAAGTTTCGTACTTGCTTATGAGAAACTTAGGTTAAGTTAAATGTCAGTCAAATTAAAAATTAAGACAATATTAAATTTTGGTTTTGAATTGGTCTGGGGGTCTTGACTAGTTTTATTATTCACTACAGAAGATTCCTGGATAATAATTTAATGAATATAAAGAAAACATGAGCGAAACGACTGGAAGCGAAATCTTGGATCAATACCGAAATATTTCCATTAAGCTAAAAAAGTGATCTAGTTGTTAAATAAATGTAAATGTGTACTAAAATGTACTTTTTAGGAGATTTTTGAGAAAACCGAATGTAACTGAAGCGTGTGAATCATTCGTTTCTTTAGCGAAACAATGTGAAACTTTAGAACTGCCGGCATATGCCGGATTGTGTTGGATTGCGGCTGCTAGATGTGAAGGGTCTTTATCTAATAATACAGGAGAGACTTCTTGCTTAGTACAGTCAGGAAGGCAGTTTTTAAAAGCAGAAGAGAATGATTTTAATTTAGGTTGTAGTAGTGTATCTGGAGAGAACTTACAGGTAGATTTAACTCTTTTATAAAAATGTTTCTGTGTATACACCTTTAGTGGTATTTTATTTATTAGGCAGGTCTCAGTTGTTACACTCATGCTTCAAGCAGATTTCCTGATAATTGTAGCATTCCGATAGGATTAAATTTAGAACTAACTGAATTTTTGAAAAAGATAGATAGGACCGAATATATCCAGAGTTATTTAGAAAATGCTATAGAACTATCAGAAGGCAGATCAGACACGAATATATACTGTTTAGAACTTATGGCATCTCATTTTGTGGATAGAGGTACTGGTACTTATTCCTTTTATATCTTCAACTTTGTTTTTTGACGTTCTTTTCTATCTTAGGAGATTATTTGGCTGCTCTCGAAACATATTTAGAAATGTTCAGGTTATTAAAACAGTTACCAATAAATGGCTCTAGGTGTGAAACATTGCTAAAATGTGAAATATATTGTGTTTTCTTATTGTTAATTCTACGTCCCAGTCCCCAAAAATTGTCTGCAAACCTGGCAAAAATACTAGAAAAATATACATGGGGAGACAAAAATGATACAAGCCTAAAAGGTACTTTCAATTTTATTTTTATAGATGAATTACCATATTTCTACTTACATTTATGTATAGCCCTGATCATTTTTGCTAATAAATTTTATTTCAGCTTGTAAAATGACTGATAATATGTTTCTCTTACTACAGTCCTTGGTAACTATATGCCAGTCATTGGACACTACTGGTTTAATTGATCTGGAATCGGAATTCTGGCCATTATTATCAAAGCAGCAAAAAGAATTACTGCGGATATTGGTTAGAAGTTATTGTTAAGTTATTTATATTGTCACTTAATTAATAATATAATCTCGTGCCTAGATACATATTTTAGTTTTAATTTATGATTTATTTACATTTTCGTAATTTCTTAAAATGTTATTAATTACGTAACAAAAAGTGCTTCACGGTTATTTTGGATTAACTTCTAGCATGTGAGATTTCTTTTACTTTTGTATCGTACCTTTCTTGTATTAACTTATTAATATTATTAATATTTTTGTTTTGTTTTTAAACACAAAAATATATTTAAAATGCATTATTGGACATTTATTTAAACTGTAATATATATTATGCAACCAGTAATACTCTTTGTGTGTATGTTTAGTAGTCAAAGAATCTCTTATTTTTTAAAACACTTATTTTAAAATGTCCTTCCATTCCATTATTCAAATAAACAAGAGTGAATCATTACCTAGAACAAAATATTTAGTTAATTGTTACTAAAAAATAAGAAAATTTGTATGTTTTGTTATTTTCTTATTTTAACGTCAACCTTTAAACAAAATCATATAAAATGTGTACCTAACTTAATTGTCATAATACATAATGTATACTGAAAAAATAAATTAATAATTGATAACACTAATTCTCTACCAATTTCTAATAACCCTACTAATTAAAAATATTAGACGATGAACTTCATTTCTTAAGAATTTAAATCTAAATATATGTATGTACCTATTTCCATGCAATTTGACAATATGGAGAAATGTGCACACTGCACTTTTAAAGAGTATCATCCTATCCTTCTTTATTTAAGAAATTTATTGAATATGTAGGTATCTTTTATCTCTTTCTTCAGTGAGCTTCAGAAAATGAAATATAGAAATAAAGTCAGTTGCAGAGTTTTTTTAGTATAGCCTGTTCATATATTTATATTTTTATTTTAAACTTGTCCTGCTTAAAAATGGGTCGGTTTTGTTTCTTAAAATAAATGACCTTGTAGCTACTCCATTATTTATATCGATTAGTTAACTTACCTACAACTAAATATATGTCGTAGGTACTTAATCTGACACAGCCTTTATAATTAAATGCATAAAATGTGACGACACACTTTTCGTACATTTTCGTCCTTATTTGCGCTTTACATACGGCCTATTTTGAAGATTCTGAAAATTAGAAAACCTTTATATATACATATGACGTCATATTCACTTTATGTTCGCGTTCACGTAATGTTTTTCTAGCGGATTTTCTACGTGTTAAGTGTTTATATATTTTTACAGTATCAGTGAGTCGTGAACGGATTTTAAATGAAAAATGCAACTTCATCCTGATTAGTGATTAGCCAGTGAGCTGCGTGTACAATTATTTAAGGTTAGATTAAACATTTTCCTCCATAATTGTTTATAATAAACCTAAACACCATTATTCGTCATTTGTGGGCGTTACGAATGAAGTAAATAAACGACCAAAACCGACGGTTATTTTAGTACAAAAATAGAATAAGTACTGAAAGCGCGTCGCGCGTTATTTTTACTCTCTAAACATAGGGGAGAGTTTATTCTTGTAGTTTGAAATAAAATCAAAGAGATTCGTATACGGCTAGTTGCATGAGTAAATGTGTTAGTTTTTGACTTTAATTTAATCTGGACGCGATGGAGTTGAGATCCAGTAGGTCCAGATCCAAGACTCCATTTACACAGATTGAGAGCTTCGATAAAGAACTTATCGAAAGAGGAAATCATGTGGAGAAGACCGTTACAAGGACCACGAGAAGAACAACTACTGTTAGGTAAGTGAAGTAATAATAACTACTTAACATTTTTTGACATTTATTTTACTATAAAAAATGTTTCCCACAAAATTTAAATTAATTAATATATATCGCCAATACAAGATTAATTAATATATATCGCCAATACATAGAGTTTACTTAAAATTTAATCTCTTATCATGATATTGTATTTAAGAGCTAGTAAAAATTTCTGAATTTTATAGTTATTTTTAATAGGTATTTTAAGATCAGTTGCAGACATTTTATACATATTGGAATATGTATTTTTCATTTAATTTAAGACCTAGGCAACCAACTATACAGGTATGATGATAGAAGCAACCAACTATACCAGGTGACCCAAAATTGTATCTAAAACGTCACTTAAATGTTTAAAATGTAATTGTGATCCAAAATTAACAAAAAAACTGCTTTCGTTTTAAATTGGACACTAGTATCTATAATTATGTTTTTATTAAGAATATCCATTTCATATTAAACCATTTTACCATATCAAGTTTTTCACCTGCATACCTGATATTAACGAGACAGGTTTGTATTGCCTTCAATATTTCCTGTCAATCGTTTAATAGGCTAAAGTTTATATTAAGTAAAATTGTTATATAAAAAAATAAGTGCCAAAATTTTAATTTGTTAACTGCCACTGGAGCATTACCTAATTGAAATGCTTATTTGACTGAATAATAAACAAAAAAATACTGAAGAAGTGTAAGAACTGAACTTTTTGTAGATAGTGTGAGTATCTCTTATATTTTGAAATCCTCCAAATTTTTTGATACATTGTACTGTAAATCAGTCTATGAGTTCTAGCTCCAGAATTATTTTCTACATTCACCAAAAATTAATCTTCAATGTTGGCAATACGATTAAGTACTTAACTGTCAGCCATGACTATAGAGTTCACTTTTAAATGATCTATGATTCGAAGTCCCTGAACAACATGAACAAATGTTCTATGAGACTTAGCAGAGTTCCTATGGGATTCACTGTAAGCTAACATGTAAAACGTGGCATGATGCACAATCACAACTGTTAATACCACTTCGTTTTTCTTCATTTGACACGGAGTTTAGTTAAAAACTTAAGATAGTGAATCATTGCATAAATCATTCACATACGTTACATAGACATTTCTTTAATCCTGGCGGCTTGTTTCTGTTCGTTTAACGAGGGAAAAGTACTGGACAAATATGTACGATTTTGAAAAACACTGTGATACAAAACTAGCTGTTTTTGCCGAGTGAAATAGTATGTGATTAAATTTTGACACTTATTTTTGGCACATCCTGTATAGCACTTATTCAGTATACATGTAATGTTACTACAATAGGAGATTAGAATAAAAGGTTTATACCTTAATCAGACGATTTAATGCTATCGTCGAAAATCTAATTGTATGCATATTGATTTGAAATTCTATTTAAATTGACATTGAAACGACAAATTAAATAATAACAATCCTGATTAACTCTGTTGACCTTGTCTTTTGTCTTCAAATGAATCTCAAATTAACATAATATAATTATGGTTTGCTATGCTGTTAAAATTCTGTTAATACAGGGTGTCCCAAAATTAATGCAACAAAATTAGGTCATAGATTCTTAAGACAAATTTAGGGGACCCGTATTTTTTCTTTTTGCCAAATGGCCCTCTCTTTTGAAGTTACAGCCCCCTGAAATCTGACCCTAAGAATAGTCGTCTTTTTTATATCTCAGAACCCTGTTGTACGATAAATCATTGAATCACTAAATTTGGTACACAGGGATTTTATGACATGTAGAATCTGATAGTGATATGCTTTTTGTCAGGGAACCCCCTTAAGACACTTTTTCGTGAGCCCCCTTGTCTTTGGAACCAAAAAAAATTTGGTTGCAAATTTGAATTTCTTAAAAATTATCAGTTAGCTAGAAAGCCACTTAATTTAGAAACTTTTTTGTCATGATATTTTTTTCGTGAAACGCAATATTTTTGAGGAAAATGGCGAATGACGATATACATTTGATTACATTTCAACATTTTTCTCGAAAACATGGCATTTTACGAAGTATAAAGAGACAAAAAAGTTTCTAAATTTAATGGCTTTCTAGCGGACTAATAATTTTTAAGAATTTTAAATATGTAACCAAACTTTTTTGGCTCCCAAGACAAGGTGGCCCACGAAAAATTGTCTTAAGGGAGTTCCCAACCAAAAAGCGTAGCGCCATCAGATTCCACTTCATAAAATCCCTGTGTACCAAATTTAGTGATTCTCGTACAACAGGGTTCTGAGATATAAGAATAAGATTATTCTTAGGGGCAGATTTCAGAGGGCTGTAACTCCAAACAAGCGGGCCACTTGGCAAAAATAAAAAATACGGGTTCCCTAAATTTGTCTTAAGGATCTGTGACCAAATTTTGATACATTAATTTTAGGACACCCTGTAATTTAAAACTGTAAAAGTAAACAACTTCTAGCCCTAAAACTGTTTAATATAATCATAAAAAGTTATAAATATTTTTCAACGTTGTTTTGGAATTTTTAAATTTAACTTATGTTAATTTCATGGTAATTTTTATAACACTTCTTCTATTTCACTAATTCAATGTATTTATAACTTTAAAAAATGAAGAAGTAAAATGGAAGAATTTAGAAAATGTGTTTTTCGTTTGACAATCTCTTAGTCTAGATTATAGATAGTTAACTGTTCTTTTAGTAGGTACGAAATTTTAAACTCCTCAGAATTATTTGGATTTATAAATAGAACAGAAATGTTGAAGATCTAATTTTGATACCTAAGTGCCACTGGAAGAGATGTTTTAAAAGGTCTTCTATCACACAGTTCATTAAATTTAAGTGCAGCTATTCATAAAGTTAGCTAAATTCATTTCTGTCCTATGTTTAATGAAAATCTTGATTAAAATTATTCAAATAAATTCATAAATTTAATAAGCAATTTAGAATTTTGTGGATATTCTAAACTAAAACACAAAATGAGTGTGTGTTTATTAGAAATATACTTACCTTTATAAATAATTTATTAGTTTGCTAGTGTATTATTTGTTTAACACAAATTTCACTAGTAAAAGATCATAAAGTAAATGCTGAATAATATTTATGAATGGTGACACCTTGAACTTTATCTTTAGAAATACTAATTTACATTTATCATTTGCATCATGTTCTTTCAACATACTCTGTTCAATTATTTAATTCAGGAAATCATGTCCAGATTTTAACAAATTATATATGTACTTAATAGTATGTATTTTAAAAACATCTAATATATCTTCTAGTTTATTTGAAATTACTTTACAAAGTAAACAAAATCAGTTTTCCAGTTTTTGTCTCATTATTTGTCTACATAAATCGAATTCAGCTTATACTGTTTGATCAATAAATATGATCTTGGTTTTGTTTACATATTTCTAAAGATGTAAGGATGTAACAAAAATGCCATGCAAATTTTATCTTATCTATCCAGGACGAATGATAACGCCACGAGTTCTACAGATGAATTTACATCTTACGCTAGGCCAGTGAGACGATCCGCTCGTTCTGAGAGGAATGTCCGAAAATTGTACAAAACCTCAGACTATTCCTCAGAGGATGGTGAGAACGAGGTTAGTTCGACGAGGACCATAAGTCAGAATGAGCGAAACCAACTCATAGAAGATGCCAGAGCCGCCGCCAATGGCACTAATGAGGTGTCGGCTTTAAATTTGTATAAGAAATCAGGACGATATTGGGAGTGAGTATTTTCTTATTTTTCTATTATGTAAATCGGTGTACACTCTGCAAAATAGTTTATGGAAAATATACCTATTTGTACTATATTAGGAGGTACAGGAAATCTATTTCTGTTGACTGTGGTTGTCGTTAAACATTATCAGCATATACAGTCACTTAACATTTCCACTAGTGTTTCCTTTGAAACCAAAAGAAATGTCAGTTTTTACCCTAGATGGAAAATAACCAGGGGTTGAACTTCACATTAACACATTTTTTTATCTTCATATACCTTGTAGATGATATTGTTGTTTTCCTGTTTGCATGCTCTGTAAATAAATTATTTGTCAGTTATTTTTATTTGATTTTGAAGCAAGTTTTGAATCAATTTTTTATCAAAGATTCGACGTATTTAAGTAAACCAAATTGTTGTACATCTTTTGGTTTAAGCGTGAATATATTTTAAGTTTTAAACAAATCTCCAATATTTTTTCATTGTTTCATTTTGTTTTGTTACAATGGACTAATTTTTTTATATAATTATCATTTCAAGTATTTTTATTTTAATGGATTTTATACACAAGGTGTTTCAGGAGAAGACGTTCATATTTCAGTTTGTTATTCTACATTTAATTTTAAGCAAAAAATTTCCTATGATCTTAGGTCTGGAAACGTTTCGTTTAGGATATACAGGATGTCAAATTAAAAAAATTAGTTCAATTCATGAAATTTTGCATAGGGAGGAAAATTCAAATTTTATGACGTACTTCGTGACACAAAAAAGTTGAAGCGATTTAAAAGGATCCTAATGGTCGCTTGTGACGCTCTGGGAGATACAGCCAATCGTCCATAAAATTTGAATTTCCCGTCCCAAGAAACCTCCGCATACAAAATTTCATGAATTGAACTCAAAGTAGTCGAGAGTTATTAAAGAAAATGTAATAAATTTTTTTAAATTTGACAAATTCAAATTTGCGACCAAATTTTTTGGTTCCAAAGACAAGGGGGCGCACGAAAAAGTGTCTTAAGTAGGTGCCCCACCAAAAAGCGTAGTACTATCAGATTCCACATGTCATAAAACCCCTATGTACCAAATTTAGTGATTCTCGTACAACGGAGTTATAAAAAAGACTATTCTTAGGGACAAATTTCAGGGGGCTGTAATTCTGAAAAAGGGGCCACTTGGCAAAAAGAAAAAATACGGGTCTCCTAAATTTGTCTTAAAAATCTATGATCAAATTTTGTTGCATTAATTTCGGGACACCCTGTATAAGGATGCACTCGGCATTGTATTATTGGATCGAAAAATTTCTTCTTTTCCTGCATGACTATCTTGATTTAAATGTCTTAGGGTCTAAAAAAAAAAAACAGTAATAATGTTAAGTAACACACTTGGTATAGGAAATATTTGTATCGATGCTGATTATGCTTGTGGTTGTGGTTGAATGTTATTAGAAAGATTTTGTGCACCTCTATTAAATATATCTGTCATGGAGCAAATAATCAAATTCAGTTTGTTTAATTTATTTTTGATTTCAAAATTATTTATGTTAAGAAAAATTTTATTTCATTTTAATTTAGGAATGACACATGCCCTTAACATTTATTTAAACTAAGTACTTGTTCAAATAATTAAAATAAAGTTTCTAGGAATTATGTACATCCACTTTAAATATTATTTTTATCAAAGCCACTTTAGTTAGCACCCTATTGACTGATCTGATAAAGTAAGCAAATGTTGATATAAAATTGTCTAATATTTATATAGTATAAATTGAGTTAATACTTTGTCGTTAACAACATATGTTATCAAGTTTTTATCTTATTATTATATCATTACAACAACATTATATTCAAAAATAGAAGCGATTATATGAGTAGCTTTTCGCGTTTATCGATACTTAATCTCAAAAAAAAAAAATAAAAGAGGCTGTCAAAATTACATATCCTCAAATATTTATGACTAATTTATTGTTTAATTGAAATATTTTATTTGTATCTAAAGGATACATTCTTTAATTTTGAATACCTACTGTTTGTAGTACGAAGATATTTATATTATAAGCCAGGATATTTCATTTAAATACACTTTGAAATATATTTTAATAAAAAATAACTTTTTATTCATAACAAAAAAAAGGAAAAAATCCTGGCAGTTGTTTTTTAATCCAAATCAGGATCCAGTGTTTGAAGCACTCATAATAAGTGCTGTGTGCTCATTTTATTAACTTCCTGGTATTTATACAAATTATTTACTTAAGCAAATTCATCAATTTTTTTTTATTAAAATTATGCATAAATTTACTTTAAACATTTAACCCATAATATTAATATGTCTTATCAGATATATCTCAATTTGTTTTGTTTCTGAATGTCAATGTTTTCTTTTTTTTTGAGATAGCTAGGAAATTTTGGTAATTGTTCATTGTTTCTTATGATCGGGTCTTTTTTATGGTATTTTAAAACAAAGTAGATTGCAATAAAAGTTCATTACGATTGAATCAATGCCTTTACTTTAAATTTGAAATTAAATAACCGCAAGGCGAACAAATATTTAAAAAAGATCCTTATGTGTTTTCCCCATCTTTTCAGTGTATACCCAAAGACAGACTGGACGTATTCCCATCACTCCAAGGACAGAGTAGAGTTAGCGCCTGGCATCGTTGCCATGCCAAACATGTCCCGTAAAACCATCCACTCTGTCCACAGTTCCGACAGCTCTCTGTCCCAGACAGATTTCATGAACAAAGAGACCAACACAGACACCGTATCCGAATCACAATCACAATCACGGTCAGACCACAAGAGCTGGTACGCCGACCTGTACTCTGCCCGTCCCCGGCAATTATTCAATAACAATTACGATAGCGACTATGAGATCTACGAGAAGAAGTCCTACACCGTCAGCAGATGGAGGCGATTCACAAGATCTGTGGTGCGGATTTTTACCTCTATTTTCACTGTGTTCTACTATGGCTACGAGGTGCAAACGTCGTGGTTTGCCAAGTTGCACAAGTTCACCAGCAGGGTAATGCTGCTGGATACTTGGTTGTTGTTGAAGACGGGACGAGGCAATAAGATGGCGAGACTCGCGGCGTTGTGTCTGCTGCCGCTGCTGCTGTTTGGGGGTAAGTTTATTATTTGTTTCACTATGTTGTGTTCTTGATGATTTATTTTTCAAATAGATGCTTAGAAATTGAACAAATTTATAAAAATATATGAACAGCTGGACAGCTTTTAAAGTTTATTTTTTGCAACAAGTTTTGTCGGATTTACTTGAATTTCTTAAGATAGTTTGTTGATTTAGTCAGATTTTACAACTTGAAATTTAACCCATGTCTTTCCCGTCACATAACAATCATATATATGAACTTTACCTAGGACGTAACTTTGAAAGGGGGGTCATGTTTGTACGAGGGCTACCTTTGACGTTTGGAAACACCACAAAGAGTGACCCAAAATTTCGTCTGTTTTGTCGACCTCATGAATTCAGTTCAAAAGTGGTCTAAATAATAGCTGGAGCATAGTTTTTGTTTTGGAGATCTGACAAGTCGAACCTGTTAGTTGACTTGTTCACGGCAAGATGAATCCAACATTCTCGGCACACTCGTTCATTGTGTTCAAGATTCTCAAATATGCAAAGTGTACCATTTCCTATGTAAAATCTTTCGTTCTTTATGAATCTACCATTAGATTTTACCAAACACTTTGTTTTAATGAGGTATTGCCAATTTTACAAAAAATCTGAATTTTTGCTGAAATATTCAATTAATTGGTTTTTTATACTGGAGACTTACAAAATCTCGATAGATTCTCTAAACCTTGTATCCGAAGGACTTTGAATTTGGATGTAAGATTAAGTTTTCTTGTTTTGTTATTTTTATAATTTTTTTTATTATTTCTTGTTTTTTTTTTCAATTTTATTTTAAATTTTATATTTTTTAGCGTTTTTTTATTTATTTTTAAATTCGCAAATAAATTAATTTTTGTAGCGAATCTTAATAGCGAGTATATTTAAGTATGCGAATCTGCTTCTTTTCGTATAGGAATAGATACTCACTAATATCTGGATATCTCCTTCGTACTGTGCATAACCCAGATACCAAACTTAAGAAAACATCATATTGTGAGGGACTACGCTTTTTGCAAGCAACGAGTTAACATTTTCATCACTCAGATCATGTAAAATAATACGCAACTATTTTCTTAAGAGAATGCTCTTCCGCCGGCTCAGAAGCACCCGAGATTGCCAAAAAACTGATTGCTCGCCAAACCGAGTGACTTCTTTAAGTGTTTGCTATATCTTTTAAGTGGATATATAAATCCATCAAGATTTGCTATGTTTTCAGTATAAATATATCATTAAATCAGATATTTAACAAAAATGCATGTTATATCTTGCAAAAATCTTTTATAACTTTGGCGAATTTCAAGCTAGCTTATAGTACTTCTTTATATGTGCGTTACTATCTTAAATTACATGCTTGCAGTTCTTCTGTTGGGAAGCAGCGAGAACTTATTCAACGTCCCGTTATATTTCAGATCAATATTCTGGGGGAACAAGTACTTTTACCCTTAAAAATTTGACCCCCACTTAAAGTTACATCCTGTAGCGTGTCCCAACAGGCGTCGACATAGTAAATAAAAAACAAATGCAGTTGATATATAGAATATTTAAAAAAAAAAATAACAAAATAATTGAAATATATAAAAATATATCAAATTCATATTTAAATTTAAAGATCTTTATAGAAATTGGGGGTATTTTAAGGGCTGTATTGTTAAATTTCAGAAAAAAAAATTGCTAATATGATTAAGTTATAGTAACCATATACAGGGTATTGTGTTTAAATGTGATACAAACCTGCAACTTCTTTATTTTTTGGCCGATTTCAAAATTTTCTTTTAGAATGTAGGGTAAAAAAACTATCTGTGATGCTGCTTTATTAATGTAATATACGGCCAACTAGGACGTTTTTTTTTATGTCAAAACAGCTGATTGAAATCGGCCAAAAGTTACAGGCTTATATCGTATGTAAGCCTGACTCCCTGTATACACATTCCCAGAGTTTAAGAAAAAAAAAATCTTCATTTGTTTCTTATTTGCACTAATAATGGTGTGTACATCCATCAATTGTGACACCCTGTATATAAAGTTTTAATTCACAAGAAATCTGCGTTATACAATTTTTTAAATTCTTTTTCCAAAAAAATTATTATTGCACATGTAAAATAGTCTGAAATTATGAAATTCTCTAAAAGATATTATCAAAATTATTTAATACTTTGTATTTGTAAAATAAAAGTTGGGAATTCAATATAAAATTAAATAATTCAAAATTCAGTGACAGGGTAAATAAAGTTTACTTATCATAGACTTAAATCTTGTATTTGCTGCTCTGGTAAAGCAAAAATTTGTTTTATTTTATTTGAATATTTTCAATCACTTTTTATGCAAAATCTATATCACCATAATTACTGCCGAGATTAAGTTAAAAATAACTTTATCTGTGCCAATAACTGTTTTAAACCGTTGTGCAAATGAGTGTAATTTTTCTCACCCGTCCATTATTGGATTTGATAACCTTTTGTGCCATTAAAGTCTGGGGATCTATCAAGTAATATTAATTAACAGACATATATTTGTAAATTCATTATGCTTTAAATTGCAATGTGCTTACTAATAATAAGATAAAAATGGTGTAATTCTCAATTTTCAAATTTGATAAAAACATTTTCTTATCTTCGAAAAAAATTAGGCCACAGATCCTTTGGGTGACAATAATAGGATTTTCATCATGCCGTTTTTATGTAGCTCTTTTTGAAAATGCGAGATGTAATAGTTACAATTTAAAAAATATTTTTGTTAAATATCCAATTTTTATTGAAATTTTGCATGTTTTTTGTGTAATTTTGATTGAAAAATGTGAACAGAGGAAAGGGTTTTGAAGTAGCCACTGAAGATTTAAAAAAAACTCGAATTGTAAATTTAATTTGGCAAGAAACAACAACAGTGAGTTGGTCAATATATTTTTAACATATAATGATATAATTGGAAACAACTATTCTGCAGGCTTCAGCCTCGTTCAGTATTGAATTACACCATCAACATCTAATAAACGGCTAAGTTCATCCATCAGCGGAATCACTAGACAAAAACTGATTTTGAATTTATTAGTTTTCAGAAGTCATAGGTCACATGACCAACAAATGATTTAGCTATTACTCGTAGTTGTAATTCAAAGCTGGACAGGGCTATAGCCTGCAGAGTAGTTGTTTCAAAGAATATCATTATTTAAAAAATTTGTGTCGCCTAGTGCGACACTAGTCACCAGAATAAAATAAAGGTAATGAGCACTTCACCTAAATACAAAACGTTTGAAGAGGCGTGAGCAAAAATTTGTTGCATCAAAATCATACAAAATTGTGCAACTACAGGATAGATAAGTCTTGCAAAATCTTTAAAAAAAAAACAGGCTTATTAACAAAATTTGACTTTTATATTGTAACATACACTCTGTAAAGAAAGGCGCATAAATGAAAAATGCTATAAGAAAAGTCCTATTATTTTTACCCAAAGATCATTATAATTGAAATCTGATTAGTTTTTCTCCAATTTAAAAGTAAAAGTATAAGTTTCTTACATGTTCATAAAGTTTTATTTGTGAAATATTGCAAGTAACTTATAAAATAATTATACATTTAATATTTTGTACGACATCTGTCTAGCAGTAATCGCTTAATTTTTCAAGTACAAGTACATGTTTCTTATAACTTTAGTGTCACCTATAACTATGCGTGTCTTTCAGGTTTGCACGTGTTGTTGGCTAGTGGCATCTCCCTTGCCCCTTCCTGCCACCCTTATTGCGGACGTATCGCCTCCGATTATATTAGCTCGCTCGTTAGCTCGACCTACAAATATCTAAACTTCACCAAGTCACAATCACCGTAACAAGCTTTACAGTCGTATATGCGCTATTAATCTTTGCCTCTTGTGGATTGTACCTCTTTCATATCATGGATTACGTAGGTTGTCGTTTATAGAGTAAATAGAGTATAGAGGGAAAAGTACAAATCGTTCTCGAAGGAAGTTTTTTTAAGAAAATGGCTTTATTGTATTTTTCTAAAGTTTTTGTCGGTTTGATCTAAATTTTCAAGGATTGTGATTTACTGGCATTGTCGTTCAGTTTTGGAATATTCTGTGTATGCATGAATATTCCACAAGTACAAATTAAAAGACTACTTAGGTGTAAATTTATTAACGGGACTAATAATAAAAATAAGGAACTTAAGACAGGCTCAATTAAAATAATAAAAGGATCTCAATTCTTGTTACAAAGCCAATATTCCATGTTTTTTTCATTTTTTTGTGTATCACTAAAATACTAACACTTTAAATGTAGTATCTATAAACGCCCTCTATACTTGCATAGGAGTAATTTTTTATCATATTTATATTATATAGTGTGGTTTTAACAAATGTACTAATCATTTTTATGTAGACTTTTTATTTATTGCATTTATTATACATTGTTTTTAATCGGTGATTGTATTTCTTATTTATGAAGTTATATTGTTCTAGAATTTAATAAATTAATAAAATTTGCTCATAACACAAACATTTTTTGCTTTCTCCCCTTTTGAGTCGTTTTACAGAAAAGGTGGTTCAGAAGTGGCAAGGGTTATACACTTAAAGAGATTCATTAACTTTGTTTTCTGCTAATTCCCTTTTGTTTTTTTGCTCTATTTGCTTCTCTTTCATTAACTTGACTAATACATTGTGTTTTAGCCGTTTGTCTTTAAGTGTATAACTTTGTGATGAATTTCAGGTTGGTGGCTGTTGTCCAGCCTCGGAAGTACCTTGTATGGAGCTTATTTCAACTCTACCGCCACCCACGTTCCAGTTGCTACAAAAATAGAAGCTGATTTACAAGAAGAGCTTACCCGGCACCAAGACGACGCTCACGTTGATAAACAAGCCGTTGAAGAAAAAATTATAAAAATCACTGAAAAGATTTACTTGGAACCTCCGAAAGCTAACGAGATTGCAGCGGGATTATCGTCGGAACAACTAGAAGCGATATCAAGGTCCTTGAAAAACTCGATTGACATAAGCGAGCAGTTCAATACTGAAGACGTAGTTCAAAAAATAGTGCACAATCCAAGCTTTCAGGCGATCGTCAACAATTACAACAGCATAAACGTGAATAAGGAAAACGCCAATATTAATTTGGATTTCTTGAATAGTCAACAAGGGGTTATAGATAATTTAAGGGAAGAGATCCAGAGAGTGAAGCGAGACATGTTGGACATAGAAAAAAATCGTCAGGAGGATCTAAAGAAGCTTTTAGCTGACTTTAAAGCAGAAAACGCTCTAACTTCGGCTCACTTCACGTACCAGTTGAACCGGTGTTGTAGGAAGCCTATAATCAACATCGAGAGTTACGTAAATAGAATCCTAGGCAACCTCTTAAACGATGCAGAGTTTCTCAAGAACCAAAAAGGTCTCAACGATTATTTGCACACAATGTTCGTTGCTAAACAAGATTTAGAATTACAGTTAATCAATTTAACGCGCAATTTGAATTCTAAATACGACGATTTGATAGCGGAGAACAGCAGGATAATCATGGATGCCGTCACTAAGAAAATAACCCTGGAGTTGAACGAGAACTTAAAATCTGACGTCCATATTTCTAAACGTGACGTTTCGCTAGGATCCGTTTCCGAGGATCGTATAAAGGAGATTGTGAAGAGCACTCTGGCTATATATGACGCCGACCGAACGGGACTAGTCGATTATGCAATGGAAACGATGGGCGGGCAGATTTTAACGACTAGGTGTACGGAAAACTACCACTACGGTAAAGCAGTAGTGTCGGTGCTAGGTATTCCTCTGTGGTACCCTGTGAATTCTCCAAGGACGATCATAACGCCCAGTATAAGCCCGGGTGAGTGCTGGGCCTTCCAGAACTTCCCGGGGTTTGTCGTTATAAGGTTATCGAACCGAGTACAGGTGGAGGCCTTTTCCTTGGAACACATAAGCAAGCTCTTAGTGCCCGACGGAAAAATCGACTCGGCACCCAAGGACTTTGAAGTTTATGGATTTACTAGTGAAAACGATAAGGAACCCGTGCTTCTCGGAACTTACGTTTACAACTACGACAAAGAACCTTTACAGTTCTTCCCCGTTCAGAGTGAGGGACACGTGTTTGAGATTGTCGAAATAAGGATTATTTCTAACCACGGAAATCCTAACTACACATGCTTGTATAGGTTTAGGGTGCACGGCAAGTTAAGTCAAGAAGCAACTTAATTTGTTTTGTATCGGGTCGCGGAATTGATCTCGATTTGGTTATGAATCGGGTTTTTAACAATTGCTAAATTTCGTATTAGGTACGGTTTAATTCTCAAATGGTCAAAATAATTTACAAAATTACAAATTTGTTTTTGATAATGTCATTGAAAAAGAAAGACTGATCGCCTCCTGATAATCAATGCTTTGATTTTTTAGGAGTAGGTTCAAGTCGGTTGTAAATCTGTGGGTAACTGTCGTTTATTCTAATAATTCTTTATATTTCCTTTGTTTATATAAAATATAGTTGGACGACGAATCAAACGAAAGTACTAGAAATGGGAATTGTATAAGCGAGTTGCCGTCTAGTATTTTTATTCCCAACTGTGACTGGTTCTCCAGCTTTCTTGTAACAAAAATATATGTTTTGGACTTAAAAAAATTCTTGCAATTCGTTAAAAATGTCAGCGGTCCAGTCATCCTCAGCATTTTCTTGGCCTACGTGTATATAGTCATCGTAATCATGCATATGTATCTGTGTTCATAGTATATTAATTTATTTGTAGATTTGTACATATCATTTTCTCTATATCGCGCGTTGTTGCATCACTTGGATGCACGGTGTTAGGCTATTTATATCGAGTGTTCTACAATTTTAGATCTTAACCGTTGTGAATTTTTTATACGAGTTTTTGATAGCAATACTACTAACATCGTACTTAATTGGTAAACATTTTAATCAGCGACAAAAATTGTTGCGTTGTGACAGTTTTATTCAATCGGAAGATTAATTGTGTAAGAAACCAAACGACCTCATTTATTTTTTAGCATAATAATTACGAAAATTAACAAAGAATATTTTTTCAAAATATTTCTACACTAGTTTTACGATTTACAATTAATTTTATTTATAGTATTATTATAACTTTGTTTGACGTGTACTGGTAACTACTAACTGTTTTTTTACAGGATTGTGAAATATGAGCAAATATGTATGGGTTTTGTCTGCCACATAAAAAAAATTAGAGATGGGCACTTTTTGGAAAAGTGTGTTAACGGACATGTCGATGAAATGTCGGGAAAAATACTTTTGACCTTGAATCTAATAAGGCACCTTTGAGTGATGTCATGTTTTCACAGGTTCACTCCTTGAGAGTACACAAAGCAAAATATTACTTCCATTCTAATGAATATGTGTCGATATATTTTACTTATTACCTATCTTTAGACTTTTTTATAAACTGGTTTCTAATTTTCCTCGGAAAGCCAATACACTTATTGAAATGTTTTTCCATCCTACTGGAATTCTTAAAAATTGTTTTTGAGCAGAAATTACATTTATATTGATTTTTACTCAATTCAGAAAAATATAACCAAACTGTTGATTTTGGCGTCATACTCCATTTATAAACTATGTGTATTAAATATTTAATTTAGAATCAACTGATTACCATTTGCTAATCGTTAACTTTGCCAAAAAATAATAAAATATGGGACATATAAAAGAGGTTATATTTTTAAAATGTCAGTTTCAGTTAAACAATTACCAACAACATCAACAAAATTCGTGTACCAACCTCAAAAATTTTTTGCGGGAATTATGAATGCAACAAATAACTCCACGCATGCGCATACAACTTTTCAATCTTGGAAGTCCTCAGGATGTCCGATGTGTAAACTTTTCACATGTCCAGCTGAATCAAATCAACTGATATGTCCGCGGCACATCTCTAAAAAAGATATTCCAACTTTAAATATTAAACAAAATTTGCTGTATTTCACGATCCTGTAAGTGTATTTTATACTAATATAGACTAGGATACGGATATTTTTACTTTTGAAACGTCTATTATTTCACTTGCCTGTTATTCCAAAGAACTTTAACTTTACTAATAATTACTTTTACGTTACGTGATGAGTCTCAATTAGGTTGTTATCGTTTGTGTTTCGTTAGTTGGTTTCTTATCGTACTAAAAACTTAGATGACATTAATGGTTAGTGTTAATGTGAGTCTGTGATTCGCTGTAAAATAAATAATGTTTGAGTACAAATTCACTATAGCCTAAGAATCTATACTAACATGCCTTATGCACTTTTTGAGGTCAATTTTATATATATTTACACGAAATGTTTTTGTTGTATTCACTTTAGCAGAGCACTTTGTATATTTTTCAGTGTTGTAACTAGTTTGGTTTTAATTATTTAATTTCTGTATACTAATGTTTAAGTATTTTCATGTTTTCACTTCATAAAGTTTCATAATGTAAAAGTTGTAGGTACGTATTTATTTGCATGTAAAATAATGACTACATCTAATTCTTTAAATTTATTTTTGTCACAGCATAAGATACCTACTATTGTTATATAATACGCAAAAATTCTGGTTATTGTCTGATGATAATGGAGACAATTGTATTTTCAAAATAAATTTTTTTGTTAAAATATTTTTATTTATCTGGGAAATCCTTAATTTAAATATTATATTTTGCTTTCTGAAGATCGAAGTACATTAGTTTCATTTCAGTGATTTCTTTTTTTTAACTGCCTTTATTGGTGGGAGTTTGCAAACTAAGCATATGCGTGAAATTTTGGAGAAAACGATTTAAGCAAGTCAGGTTAGGTTAGGTCAGTACCTAAATATTCATACTTTATCGTTTTATCTTTATCTTATTTTATCTTTTCATGAGAAATGTCCTAAGGGGCGGAGTTTAAGTGTATTTTATTTGGAAAAAAAACGCTACTGGATTGACAATCGCCATACTTTGCGACCTACTATTGATCAATGAAAATATGGAAGAAGAAGAAGATCAATTCTTGACATTTCGTGTATCCGTGGAGAGGAACGTCTTTTATGCCCTCGAATAAAATTTAAAATGGGTGTTCAAGAAACAAATCCAAACCCTACCCCTGAAGACACAAATGGGAAACAGAAATCCGACCCAGAACCCATGAAGCAGTTTTCCATAGAAAGTAAGTTATTCCCTTTGTAACCTCAAAAACATAAACATCTGTTACCCATTTCAGTTTTAAAGTTGATAAAAGACGCCCAGCAACAGCACGGTTTAAGACACGGGGATTACCAGAGGTACAGAGGTTATTGTTCAAGAAGGGTCAGTAGACTTAGGAAGGTATTGAAAATACCGCAAGGAGACAGGAGGCATTTTAAGAAACGGGATGTCACAGAAGCTCATATTGCCAGCCCAAAGGCAGACGAGCGGTTTTTGCATATACCTCTGGTATTGTCTGAAAGGTGTTGGGCTTACGCTATGCAGTTACGTCAAGAAGCTAACACTGAACCCAGAAAAAAATTCCATTTGGTTCAAAAATTGAGAAAAGCATGCATCTATGCCATGCAACTTGATGAATTATGCAAGGTAAATATTTCCCCATATAACCTCAAATAAAAAACTCATTAAATTTTATTGCAGCAAGAAAGATGCGATGCTCGTACCCGCCTTGAGGCACAAGCATATGTTGCTTGGATTCAAGGTTCTTTACAATTTGAACTTCAACTTTGGCAACAGGCAGTAGAAAACCTAAAAAAATCGCAGGTGATCTATGAAAAGCTAGCCTCGGCTTTACCAGAGGAAGATCAAGCCCCTTATAAACAAAGAGTTGAGGAAATAGCTCCAAGCCTTAGATACTGCGCTTATAATATCGGCGACGAAAAGGCTGTTGATTTGTTAGAGCTGCGCAGCCAAGGCGTGTTAGAAAATTTCGATGCTTTGGTGTCTCAAACTAAAGAGAAAACAGCTGCTATTTTACACGAAGTTAAGTGGTTCAATATGAAAATCCCTGTAAGAATAGAGAGAGTTAGATTATTCTTAGTAAGCATAGAAGGGTTGGACGAATCTTTGAACCATGCCGAGGACAACCAGGCCAAGATAAAAATCTTGGAAAATTTATTCATCGACTTGCGTGATGTTATTTCCTTGACCAGAGATAGTGCCCGTACGGAGAAACAAGATCAGTTACTTTTATCTTACCTGTTGTCTATCCGTATAGAACGCACTTCTCAGCGTAACTTGCTGTTAATAAAACAGACTCGCAAACCGCAGGATTGCGTCCGTTTACTTGATATTAACATTCAGCAAACTACCGAACTGTCCCAGAATGAGTCAATTAAGGATAACAAAGATGCGCAAAATTACTATGAACTTCAGTTGCAGGCGTATAAAACCTTACGTTCGTATTACTTGGCGAAGACACACGTTTCTCAGAAACGTTGGAAGGAGGCTGTCGTTTTGTTCGATTCTTCGGATAAGGCCATTAAAAAAATAAATCAAGGTAAAGTATATTTTTTTAAACATGATACAGTACACGAGATGTTAAAAAAGCAGCAATAAGTACAATGAACCACGGACTTTTTAAACGAAAAATAGTGATTCATGCTATTTTTCATTTATGTGCCTCTTCTTGGTTACAAAGTGACAAAGTTGAAATTTAAAAACAATTTTTAATAATTACGTTTCTTAAGACATTCAACTGCATATACTTTTATAATCTGGAAGCACATTTTAATTAAATTAAGTTCGTAAAAATATATGTTTTATTATTAGCTCTCCTGTTTTTAGTACATTATAAATATATTAATTTCTATTCTATCTACTAGTTCGATATTTTTTTGGAATTTTTGTAAATAATGAATTTGAAAAATGATCTTGTTTTTAGTAGTTTTACATGCTGTTAAACATGAAATAGACCAGGGCGGATCTGTTTTGAGGTGAATGTGAGAGGAGGCAAGCAAATTTTTTCTGGATTACCTTTAGTACAACTCACATAATAAAATTGTAGATCCCTAGATCTGGACGAGGTCCGGAACATTTTCAAAATTGCAAAAATGTTTAAAACATTTTTTAAAATACCTATTTTTACTTATATCTTTGTACCTAAGCATTTTGGAAGAATATTGAAGTTTTAGAATTGAATTTTGCACAATATACTGTAAGTTAAAAATGTTTAAATTTATTACCGATGTTGCAAAATAGCAATAATTGATGAAGAAAAGGCAAAATAATCAAGTTTTTTGGATAATTTTTTTAAATATTTTAATTGCTCCGAGGGTATTCTGATTTTAGAGAAAAAACTTAGAGTATAATAAAACAACATACCAAATTTCATTAAAATCGGTTCGATAGTTTTCACAAAATAATTTTATGAAACAAATTTTCGAATTTTCAAAATGTTGCACAGCCTCAATACTTGATACTTGAAAATTTTTTCACATAGAAAAGACCGCTTAACCTTTCAAATGAGTTTTGAAAAATTAAAATCGGTTGATTAGGACTGCCACGGTAAATTTTTAGAGTTAACACTCTTTTTTTTTAATTTTTTAACAATTAGATTGCATTTATCAATTTGCAATTTAGTTTTTTTTTAAATTATAATTTTAAAGTACTCGGAATGACGCTTCTTTAAAAAAAAAGTTAAATTCCGTTTATTAGTTCTTGAAATATAAGCGGTTGAAGTTTATTGGCATTTACCGTTAATTTATAAACAATTTAGCAATAATCTTTGATCCAATGGCTTCGTTTTTCCGAGTTCTAAGCTGGAAAAAATTTTCATATCCATAAGTTATCGGCAACATAGATAAATCAGCAGAAAAGCTATAGCTCGCACGTGCGAAAAGTGACTCAAAACATGAAAAGTGGGGGAGGGAGCTTTTGCTCTGAGACTGAATTCGGAGGTTCAAAATGCGAATGTACGAAAAAAATTGCATTATGTCATCTGGGCTTCTAATGGACCAATTTCGATCTTTTTCTTTTTAATCTGATGTCTCGCGAGCCAAGGAATTTGGATATCGTAATGCCAACTATCTAATTTGCACATATTTTGTTATAAACAAAGTTTATTAATTATGCATTAAATATACTGTACCTATATTTTACCCTATGCTATTGCATCTTTTTAATGAAAAAATTTGTTTACGTATAGTACATATATTTCAACACTCTGAATATAATGTATTTAGTTATAATTATTACAATTATTTAAATAATATTTGTTTAAACAAATTAAAAATAAATTATTTGGGAATTAATTTTTTTGTTAAATACAGATAAAATTAAGAAAAAATAGTACTTTAAAATTATAATTTTTGTAAATTTTCAAGTATCTAGATGCTTTATTTGTGACTGTGCAACATTTTGAAAATTNATAATAAATTTATAAATTAAAAAAACACAACTGGGACGTTTTAAAATGCTGTAATAATTAAAATTGATCAAAGTGCCGGTTATAGCAAACCGTAAAAAATATTAGATGTTATGTTGTATTATGTTTTTTCAATATTTTCTATATCTTGTTGCCTTTTACGCAGACACGCCAATGGATTTTCGTTCCCGGCACGCTTCATCCCCCTTACTAGTCCAAGAGCTAGCGATTAATCACTTTCTATAATTTTGGCCGTCGGGTATAGATGCTTTATTTGAGACTGCAACATTTTGAAAATTCGAAATTTTTTATTTTTTAACAAAAATTATAATGTGAAAAGTATCGAACCAATTTTAATTAAATTTGGTGTGTTGTTTTATTGTACTCTAAAGTTTTTTTTACCAAAATCAGAATACTCTTGTAATATTTAAAATAATTTAAAAAATTTTATCAAAAAAGCTTGATTATTTTGCCTTTTTTATTGCTATTTTGCAACATCGGTAATAAATTTAAATATTTTTAACTTTAAGTATATATTGTGCAAAATTCAATTCTAAAACTTTTTTCCTCTTCAATATTCTTCCAAAATGTATAGGTTTCAATATAGAAGAAAAAAAACTCAGATAAAATAGGTATTTTTGAAAAATTAAACATTTTTGCAATTTTGAAAATGTTCCGGGCCTCGCCCAGATCTAGGGATCTACACTTTTATTATGTGAGTTGTACTTTGTATTTCAGCAAAAATTAGCTTGCCCCCTCTTACATCCAAAAAGTGGGATATTTCAACAGACCCCCCCTGGTCTAAATTGAAATATTGAAATGATTTGAAGAATTGTAACAAAAAGCCATATTACACTTTGCTTGTGATTGTGGTTCGAATTTTAAATTTTATCTATATGTCCCCATGATATAAACGTCTGAACTGAATATCTTAAAAAGCAACAAAGTTATTATTAAAAATCTTTTTATTTTCATTATCTTGAAAAAGAGACTCCTAAATGGAAAATAAGATACTTAAAGTGCCGTTAATTTCACTCAAAGATGTTACAGTTAACATCTTGGTCTATTTTTTATTAATAAAGTGTATAATATCAAAACGTAATAAATATCGCCTGTTTTAACTTTAAGGTAATTTTATTGCCGAGTTGAAACAACTGCTTTCCAACGTCAAGGAAAATGCCGAAATCGACACCGTAAATGCCCAAGCTAACTTCGTATTAGATCAACAAGAAGACCAAGCCATTCCTGTTCCTCAAAAGACGTATAAAAGCAAGAAGCCGCTTATCGAAAGGTTGGACGAATTCAGAGAAGAACCCCAGTTGTTGTCCAAGAATCCCAATCTTGTCACTTTGCCTCCTCCCATGGAACCCGTGCCCGCAAAGCCTTTGTTTTACGATTTGGCGCTTAACTTTGTCGAATTCCCTGATCTAACGGAGAAGTTGGAAGGGGGGCAGCCCAAGCAGAAACAGGGGGCTGGAATTTCTGGTTTCGTTAAGGGGTTGTGGGGATGGGGAAAGAAATAAGTGTTTAATCATATCATTTTAATTTCAGTGCGGTAATATTTTGTTTATTTTTTATAGAGGATTTGGACCTGAAATGTTGCTTCAAATAAAATTGCAAGAAAAGTGTTGTAGTTTTAATGGAGGTTTTAAAAAGTGGGTATATTTTAATCTTCTCGGTGCTGTAGTAAAAAAGAAATATCACAAAGGTTTGTCGACGATTTTAATTAACTTGTTTACTCATAATGACTACAATTTTATTTTATTTTTTGTAGTAAATAATGCGAATCTGTCAAGATATGGTAATTACCCTTTTCCATCCAACACATTAGTTGGGTTCCATAAATCACTCTTAAATTTATATTTTACAGTGTGATGCTTAAATGTGTGCTGCATTGGCGGGATTTTGCAAAATTTGCCCTCCCTTCGGCAATACTAATAAAATCAGTAACAGACCTTCGAATCAATGTTAAGAAATATTGAAAACTTTTTTGAATAAAAAGTCAAATATATATCATCACGCCTTAACGATCCCTGCTTGCAGTTTTCTGGTCTGCTCTTTCCGTTCTCATGTAATGGCGGTCAACCATCAGTTGGATCACCCGGTAAAGCGTGAATTTGCAGAACTCGGTAGCGTCGAAATTCGTATTTAGTTATCGTGTCTGTCAGTACTTCCATCAATACTTAACATAGTTCTATTTAAAATCAAATTTGGTGCAATTTTCCCTTTATTTCCTTAATTTAGTTACCCAAATTTTATTAATATACATCAGTATTCGTGATAATGTAGCATCAAAAAAAAAACTGACTATCTAATAAGTAAAACAGTTTAGAATATACAGGGTGTATCCAAGGTCTATGTCATAAATTAAGGAGGTGATTCCTTGGGTAATTTAGGTCCAAAAGCCTTTGTAAACCAGGGCTTTGTCATTAAAACCCCCAGAAAAACTATACACTAGATTTTCAGAAAAATTAATAGGCATGTCATATTTTTGGATAAAAAAGGTATCCTGCATTTTCCTCATCATTTTCAAGTCATATTTTTAATTCTTTTGATTGAAGGTTTGCTTGATTTAGAAAATTTTATTCTGAATTTGATAAGTCAATTTAATATCAAGGCTACGAATCTCACTTCCTCATTTCTTAAAAATATAAATAGATTGTGCTAATTTATTCAATTCGAAAATTTTAAGTAAAACGTAAAGCTTCCAGCAACACAATAAGTGATAAACTTAATAAACAACGCAGGTACTCCACCTATTCCAATTTGTTCGAAAATAAAATGATCAAAATCTTTTATATTTAATATCCCCGTAATACCCACGCCTACATGAAAATGTCATTACTTTGATGAATTCCATCTCCATCTAATAAATTTCCTCATGAATTATGCTGTGCATGTTAACGCCGTATGTAAAAGACATGAATAAATTTGGAACTGGATGACTGCGGAGGCAACAAGCAAATTAAGTTTTCCGCCCACGTTATTTTATGGATTTTCCGCTTATCCTACTTTGCAGAGTGCAGTCCTCTTTATTTTGTTTGAAATTTGAGCCTACGTAGGCAGTGAAAAATAATCAGACGGGAACAAATGGAAGGAATCCCAGGGATCTTGTAAAATTTGCTCGAATTAGGCCAAGCCTACACTATTCCGACCAAAGCTGATCAAAATCAAAACTTGGCACACATCCCATATTTATCCAAGATTTCGCCTGTGGCACAATAAATCATTTTTGAGTGCTTTGTTAAGCATAGTTCTACACAATCTATAAACAATTTTCACATAGAAATGTTTTTAAATAACTGACCTACCTATATAAAAATAAAAACAATTGATTGTAAACAAAACCAAACGTTTCTTGGTTGTCTATGAAAAGTTTAAGGGCAGAAGTAGTTTATCTACATCGGAAAATACTATTCATTCGGTTTCAATATCTCAAAGAACATAGTTCAAAGTGCAGCTTAAGGAATTTTTACAGGCTACATATATTTCTGAATGAGGAGAAATAAAAAGCGTCGGAGAAAGACGTTTTTCAAGACACACTCGATTCTGAAATTGTTATTGTTAAGAGGATCCAGGATTTTCTATTGTCCTTATTTAATACATGCCAATATAGTGGCTCGGTGTGAAGTTTATTTTTCAGTTTATTTTTGTATTGTTTTATTAAACTTACTTGTAAACAAATTTATATACAAATGCACAATGTACAACAACAGATTCTTATTATTTTCATGTTTTAAATCACTCAATTACATTAAATTTTCATAAATTTAAATATTTTACTTTTTATGATGATACCTCGTTGTAAACCTACCTTTAGTACTTGATGCCTGCGCAATAACCTCCTCAAATGTTTACATTTGGTTGGTCTGTGACATTTGTAGGTTGGAGGTTGGAGGGGAGGTAGTTGACGTTGACAGCAAATGTCGAGGCACGAGTTTATATATTTTGTGTTTTGTTCCTTTCTCCTTTCATTTGAGTTCCAGAGGTAGTTAGAGGTTAAGTTCCTTAAGAGTTATTATTTTTATTTTTGTAATGTTACGGATTTTATTAGTCTTCCTTACAGTTGTAGCAACATTTTCTAATGGCAGTCAGTTCAAATCACTACAGGTAAACACTTTTCTCTTTTAGAGTTTGCTGTCCTTTCTCCTTTACAGTTGTTTTTGTTTTTTTTTTAAATATCCCCGTTTCAATAATCTGTCAGTGTCAGTGTGATTTGTGAAAAGGCGTTTACAGGGTGTTAAAAAAATTATTATTACAACAAATTTAATTCAATTTAAACACTTCTGAAAATTCACCTCAATGCCACAAAATTAAGTCTCAACGAATATAACACCTACTCCTACCTACTAAAAAAAAACAAGTGCTTAAAGATTTTAAAAATATGTCTAAAGACAGATAAATAATTTGTGTTATTTTTATTTTATTATTATGTGTATTATATATATGATTTAGAATATTGTTTATAAAAACGCTGTTTTATTTACATTATGACATTCAACATAAAATAATATATTTCGTATTTGATAATATCCATATTGCAACTTTCTACAAGAGACCTCTAGTTCAGTAGTGAAAGCGGAGACCCTATAAATGTACTTACTTGATGTGTGATAATATAATTAGTTGTGTACGCAGGTATATGTAATAAAATTATTATTCTTGACAGATAATATTATGATAAAATGAAGGACAATTTATTAGTTATTCAAATATCCCCAAATTTGTCAACATTCTTTTAATTTTATAAAGTATCTTGTTACGTTTAATATATATCTGCAAAAATAGAAATATTGATATAACTTTACAACAACAACTTTATGTCTAAATGCAAAGATGACCAGGATTGATAAAAACAAAGTTGCATATAAGTGTGTTATTAACAGTCAATAAACACTTCCTGGTTTTTAAAGATATGTAATTTGTTATATAATTTATATTAGATATTTAATTAAAAGATCCTCAGTTTTACTAACAAGTTTTTTAGATGTAAAAGTAGAGTAGGGAAAAGTGGATTGATTAATGACTGAATGTTTAATTTGTTTTTTCTTTCAATTAATAAAATTAATTCATTACTAAATCACAGCCTAATTTGAACATATGCTTTATATTTTGAGATACACCTGCAAATACTTCCTAATTAAAAAAAAAATGAGAATGTAATAATTATTGATTTTTTAATATAGATATTAAAATTTCACAGAATACGTTCTTCTTTTGTATGGGAATAAGCACTCAGAGGCTTCAATGAACATCCAAGGTTCCAAAAATTAGTTGTTTTCCCACAACCAATTAGCTATTAATTAAATATATTGCTGTTTTATCCCTTCGTTCCAGGAAACCTTATTCTGCTAATTGATAACACATATTTTGGGATATTTCTTAATACTGAAATATTTGCGTAGCTTTCGTTAATGAAAAAATTGTATGTTTTGTGTCACGATAGTACATATGTCATATTTAATATAATAAATCTATTCGAAGTACATCTGTCACAAAAAAAAATAAGTAGATAAGATATTTTTATTCATCATTATCAATTATCCTCATTTTATGTTAATTCTGTACAAAATCAACTCTATTTAACTATTCATATGACATCAGACACTACTAAATATGTTGTTCATGAGTTGCATTGGAATTTTATTAGAGAGTAATTGTTCCCGTAAAGATCCTGTGACCTTCATTTTTTGCTGCCAGTGGTAAAAACAATGGTAGTTAAAATATAATTTCCTCCAGCCGTAAATAGTATATGCACAAATCCACTAAATGTCCAAGTATGTTTTTGTAACAGAATTTTTCTCAAAATATTCTTGGCTAAATTTTCAGCAAAATCATAGACCTCAAGACCTCTCAAATGCTGATATTAAATATTTAGCGACTCTCTCCGACTTGAAATACACAGACGAGGTTTTAGACAATATACTCATACCTAGAGTGGTAGGCACTCCAAACCATGACAAAGTGTTCAATTACATCAAATCGGAACTGCAAAAGTTGAAGTGGCACGTAGAAGTTGACGAATTTGACGATGTCGCCCCGAAACAGTTTGGAACACTTAGATTCAGAAATATCATCGCCACTTTAAACCCCAATGCAGAGAGATACTTAGTATTGGCTTGCCATTACGACAGCAAATATTTTAAGGATACTGTTTTCGTTGGTAAGTGCCATAATCTGATCGAAAGTTTATTTCTGTTGATTGAAAACTTTGTCGTATCGTTTTCTAGGTGCTACTGACTCGGCAGTACCTTGTGCTATGATGCTGAACCTTGCAAAAGTCATGCAAAAAGATTTAAATTCAATCAGGGACAAATCTAACGTGAATCTGAAACTAGTTTTCTTTGACGGAGAGGAAGCTTTCGTTAATTGGGGCCCTACTGATTCCATATATGGAGCAAGGCATTTGGCTGAAGTTTATCATAATAATAGGCTGCTCAGTATAACAACTGGCGAAACAATTTCTGATTTAGATAGGATGGACATGTTGGTACTTCTGGATTTGATTGGTCATAAGAATTCCAGGTTTTATAGTAATTTTAAAAATACACAGGATTGGTAAGCAGTCTTCTCTGGTTATTTAATAAAGAAAACAAAAATTATTTACACTAGAAGAATAACTTTATTAATTTTCGCTTGAATTTATGAAAAATGTGCTTTGTTTACAAAAACAATATTTTTTGTGCACAGAAATTGTTTATAATTATTTTATACAGACACAGTTTAACTAAAATGCTTGAGCAAAGTTTATTGGCAGATTCTGCATCCCTAAATTCTTATGTATAAAAAGACTGGCATGTAGACACATTTATTAATAATCAATGAATAATTAAATTAAAATTGCACTATATTTGAACTAAATTGCCTTAAGTATCCATTTTATTGTAATTTAAAAAAAAAATACAATTTTTTTTGAGATTTTTATTACCCTATATCCTGAAAACAAAGCATTTCTGATAAGTATTTATATGAAATTTTTTTGTTAATATGTGATGCAGAATCTGCACCTATATTTAGGCCAAGTATTTTATTTAAACATAGCATTTATTCACTCAAAATATTATTTTCTTTAAAAAATTAAGGCGTCTCAGATTTTTTATGTGCTACATTACGTTTGAAGTATACACCTACTTATATTTAATACAATTGCAAATATAAGTGCATATAAAAATTTTATCTGCATATTTAATGTCTATAAAATTGTAACATAAATTATTCAAATAAATAATATTATTATGTAAAATTTTGTGGAAGATAAAGTTTCATTTGGTGTTCTGCTATTAATAGCCTTTTGACATCTTCCTTTAATTGAAGGCAAGGAATATACCGAGAGTATCCAGAATGATTAAAGCATTTGGGGAATGTAGCCTGTTTCTAACACCATCTTTAGCATATAAAAATCTGTAGCAGAGACAAACACAGGCTGCTATCTCCAAACACTTCAATCATTCTGGATCTCTCTGTACATATGTATGTATATTTTGTTTTTCTTTAATTTTGTGTAAAATGTAAGATTTGTATTTATCAAAATTTTACCTAAGTTGTTGGTTGTTTTATCAGTTGACAGAGTTTAGAAGCAGTAAAAGTAAGATTGGCATAAAGATTTAAACGAACTGCTACTATACTCAGTTACGATTATTATTATTATTGCATGACCTCTGAACCTCGATAAAGAAATCAGTGATTTTTTTTATTTACAACAAACTATAACATATACGTAAATGAACAAAATCAGATGATCTGCTCTGATACAACATTAATGACAGACATGTAATTCGTGAAAATAAACAACAAAGAGATGGCGCTACTTTTGTTCAATTTATAGGGAGTGCAAGTTATAATTTTTGATATAGTGGATGTGATTTGTGTTTCACATTCGTCAATTATTATAAACTACTGGAAAAAATTAAGGGAACAAAAATAAATAATTAAATAATAATAATAAATTTTGTAGTGATTTAGTAAAATTTTTTATTTTTTGATTTTTTTTTTTTAATTTAAACAATATCTAATGTAAAATTGTGGAGAATATTTTTTTTCCTTTTTATAATGATTACGTAATGTTTAGGAGCATTAAATGTGCTCCTTAAATTTTTTCGGAATCTTTGATCATTTGAGTTTACAGGGTTATTGTGGGTAGCTGTAATTTTTCTCAACATTAGTCTTTTCATCAGTATTTGTAAACTTGTGGTACTTTATAAAAAGGTATTTTTCTCAGTTTTTTCAAATTAATGTATAAAAAAAAATTGATTGATTTTATAGAGAATTTATTCAAGTTTTCAAAACGGCCTTTGAATTTACTGTGCAATAATTTGTTGCTGGGATATTGATAATTAAAGACAAAAGTGGAATTTCTCATTCAACCATGAATATCTCAGCAACCAATAGTTGTGCGGAGACCTTTCAAAAAGTAAATTGAAGCTGAATAAACAAACTAACTGACCTCTTCATTGATTGAGCTGGAAAATGTTTTCCTGATTGGAATTTTATTTCACAAGGTTATTTTGATTCTTAGATAACTGTAGCTAAAAAATTTTTCTGTCAAAAGATCTTGAAACTAGGGACTTAATGCTTCAAAATGCTTTTTTTTAATGTTATTTTTCACTGAAATACAGCCTTTCAAATATCACTAAAAAATTATGAAATTATTTTGTTCTCTTAATTTTTTCCAGTAGTGTATTTTATATATATTTTTTGTTATTGCGTTTTGTATTGTGGCACTCGTTTTTTCAAGTATTTTAACATCCATTACAGTTACAAGCATGAAAGTCTAATGAATATATTTGTTTTAAAGCGGGGTATATGCTATCATGTCAGTTTAAGAATGTGAATGCTCGAGATGTGTTTGTACCCTGTTTACATGTAATTCTGATCACACAAAAAAAATTACTGTTAAATTAATATAATAGATCTCTGCATTGTTTTGGTGGATACATAAATTGTGACAAATTTTCTAGCTTCACTGGTTCAAATATTTGACAATTTTAAATATTAAAAAAAATGATACATACATTTTTGCAGTTATGATAAATTATTATTCTAAAAGTTCTTAGCCTTAAATTTGAACCATTGCCCAATTTATTGGAGCATTTGAAGGAGTGCCTTAAATACAGGGTGATTCAGAACTTATCCAAAAAAAACAACTTTGGGTGTACTGGGGGTTCTTACAAATACAATGTTGTAGAGAAAAAATCAGAAAGGACAGTTCAAAACTGATTTAAAAATACACTTTTGCGTGGCACTGGAAACTGGTCCACTGTAAAACCTGACCTCACGCAATGCGACTGGCATGGCGGCAAAGTGTAATAAAAACGGACAAAAACTTGAAAGAATTTCGCAAGGAAAGAAATAAATAGAATTTTGTAGCACCTATTTATATCGGCAAATTCAACTGCTTTTGCCGCTATTGTAATAATTAAATAAAATAAATTTGTGGTTTTAATAATAAAATAATTTGACATACCTTGTTACAACTGTTAAAAATTTTGTCCACCGACGTGTAAACACATTTGGGTCCATCTTACTCAGTTTCTACGACAAATGTTGTCTTGCTTCACCATAAATTAAAACTATATCCATCAATTCCGACTTGCTACACACGCAAGCCATTTTTGACACTAACTACTAAAAAAACTATTGTAAACGCTATCACAACGATGATTGTAAAATCGAATTTCAGTATTCCGAGTCGCTGAGGCCGCGTGGCTCTCCACTCATATTGCGAATGACGCTAGAGACTATAGTTGTTCAGCTACATAATGGTTGAAAGTACTACAACTTCAATAATTTTTTTCTCGGAACTATAAGGATTTTACACAAACATTTTTTACGATATTGACTCCATTTCTCATACTGCATTTATTCCCAAATTCTTTTGTATAAGTTGTGAATCACCTTGTATAGTCACTTGTGTCTATTTCTTAAATAGTTTATTGGGTCAAAAATAGACTTAAGTTCCGATCTATATGAGGCATAACTTACTGATTTTCTAGGTATTTAAGACTGGCAGATATAGAGGATAGACTTCAACATTTGAAACTGTTGAAAAAATCAAATAACCATAGGTACTTTTTGAGAAGAGCATATGGTGGATACATCGAAGACGATCACATTCCATTTTTAAGGAGAAGTAAGTGACATAAATTTATTGTTAAGATATGTCAATAATTTGTTTAATATTATATAGATTTTTTGGATATCTCCCTTCTGCATTTTCTAATTATATGTGTTCTTTTAGACGTTCCGATTCTGCACTTAATTTCTAATCCGTTCCCAGAGGAATGGCATAAGCCAGGCGACAACAGGGACATAGTGGACAGGGATACTGTCGAAAATATCAACAAAATACTAAGAGCCTTTGTGGCAGAATATCTCAGCGTGTTAGTAAATAATAATTGATATTTGTCTGTCCCCTTTCTTGTTTGTATATACTTAATTGTAGTTTTATGAGATATTTAACAAGTCTCGAGTACAAAAAAGTGATATTATAAAACAGCAGTAAATTTTACAGAACTTAAAAGGAGTTTAACGATAGGCATTGTATAGTTATTTTTATTGGTAATTATTGGATTTATGTACCACAAGGTGAAATTTGAATAAGTGTATTATTAAAAAAAAGAATACAACGAAAATACTCAATTTTTGCAACAAAGTAATAGTTTAACTGAGATTAATTAAATTGTAAATATGAGATTAAATAATACTTGTCCTAATTTTATTAAATTTGGTGAATATGGGTAGGTATAATAATTACTATAAATACGAAATATAAAAGTCAAACTCAGTGGCGGCTCTTGACTTTCATAATGCTAAGGAAGGCAGAAAAATTAAGGTACAAAGGATTGAACAAAAATGGGGTAGTTTCATTTTAAGTACTATTGAAATACAGGGAAAATGTGTTCAACATTATTTTTTGAAGTGAAGGTCCACTTGTTTGCTTTTGTCCAAAATAAAATTTTGAATTACTTTTGCATTAAAGTTTGATATTTCTCGCAACATTGATTTTTCAGCATAGCATTACTGTTAGTCTGTCTTTATAATCATTTAAACAATTTAAACTGTTACAGTCTTTAAAAAAACCACAAGAAACAACACGTAAGTAACAAAATTTTGCACCACACCTGAACAACTTACGTTTAATAAGAAAAAAAGCCATGAATAACTACTATTTGGTTATGGTTGAACTAAACAGAGCCCACACTGATAGTAAATATGCGGTACTCCCATTCCGTCTTACTGCTGCGTGACAATAACCATAACCACTGCTGTAAACACTTTACAGATGTAGAAGCGAACTATGCGGAGCCTACATATTTAGAATTTTTTAAACGAATTTTGCAAATCGAGAAATAAAATTTCTAAGGGGGCGTCACTCGTCAAACTGGGGTTAATCGCATCATAGAGTTCCTGTATTGTGAGGACCGCAAACCCACCAGTTATTTTATTTGTGTTAACTTTTGAAAATTTGACATTTTCATTAAAAGTAAATTCAAAGTATTAAAAATACACCTTAGTTAACTAGAACAAAAAAGTCTAATTCATTAGCTTTATTTTCTTTGTCTGAAAATTGCAAATTGAGGTTCCCAATATTACAGCAGATCAAGTTTATTCCAAACATGGAGGTAACGTAATCTGTAATCAACTGAATCAGAAACTTCAACCACTTTGGAAGATATTCTACTTGAAACTTGAATTTTATTTTCAAGAGTCTTCATTGTACAGGGTTAGTCACTATAATCTGACAACTTATTGTGAGTTTATTATTGAAATTACAAAAAAGTTGTTAATACAAAAGTTTTAGCTTTTTATGAATTTTTATAATACAGTATTAGAAAAAACAATTGAATAATGGAAATCATTAAATTAAAGAAAAAAAATGTTTTTTAAATGGAACACCCTATTTATTAGTAGGTACATACTTAGCTACGTTAAATTTTTCTCTTTACAAAAATAATAATATGTTACTGTTTGATTCGGGACTTTTCGAAATATTTCAATTTAAAACTATTTTTGAAAAAACGGGAGGGAAATTTATGTCTGGCGGATTGCAGTGGCTATGGACCAGGCACGCGGAATGAACAAATTTGATAGAAGTTTATTTATCATCATTAATTTATTTCCTATAACAAACTATTTTAACAATGAAATAATGTTTAGTGAGAACGAAAAAAAGTCCGTTTATTTTACAAGAATAATAATAATGTGAATGCAGCGCGCGCCGAATATGCTCGTTTGCATCCCAAGTTTCCAATTCCATCTCGAGCTGCATTTTATGACATTGAGCGACGCTTTAGAGAAACAAAATCTCTTAGAAGACAGAAACGAAGTATTATTGCAAATGAAGAATTAGAACTAACTATATTCCTATATTTTCAAGGTAAGCAAATATTCATTCGAGAGAAAGGCCACAAGACTCCACAGTAAATGCTTTAAGACAGTGAGAAATAAGCCAAAGTAAAATTATTAGAACATTGCATAAATATAAATACCGCCCCTATAAAACTATGCCGGTCTAAAAACTCGCCCAAAATGAAAAAGTTCAGCGATTAGAGAAACGCTGTGCTTGAAAAATGGCGACCAAAACTATTCTGAAAAGATTTTATGGACTGATGAGGCGACTTTTACAACAGCTGGCATGTACAATAGAAAAAATACTCATACCTGGGCAAATGAAGATCCTCACTGTAATAGGGAAATTCCAAGTCAAGTACGCACATCGTTTAATGTTTGGTGTGGTATATTGAGAAATAAAATCATTGACCCACTATTTTACGAAGCTGCTTTGACTGGGGAAAAACATCTGCATTTTTTTGAAAATCAAGTAGATAAGAAATTGTAAGACCTGCCGCTGGTCAACTATAGCAGTTTGATTTGGCACCAAGACGGAGCGCCTCTGCATAGGACCAGAGCAATACGAAATTATTTAAATAATAGGTTTGATTTGTGGATTGGTAATGGAGGAAATATTCAATGGCCTTCAACTAGCTTAGATCTTACACCATTGGACAGTTTTCTGTGGGGTTACTTAAGAACGAGGTTTATAAGGAAATTAGTGTAAACTTAGATGAACTAAGACATAAAGTTGATCATTTCATACTAAATGCAGTTCTGAAAATTAATGAGGATTATACAAAGTGCATCAATAATAATGGTGGTCACATTGTGCATATGTGACCATTTGTGTTTTAGTTGGATTTTATGAATTAGGATTAAAATTCTGTTAAAGTTAAGAATGATTTTTATCATTGTCATAAAATAAACGGATAACTTCAAATTTTTCGTTCTCACTAAACATTATTTCTTTGTTAAAATAGTTTGTTATAAGAAATAAATTAATGATGATAAATGAACTTCTATCAGTCATTTGTTTGTTCTGCGTGCCTCATCCATAGCCATTGCAATCTGTCGGACATAAATTTCCCTCTTGTTTTTTCAAAACTGAAATATATCGAAAATTCCTGAATCAAACGGTAACATATTATATATTTTTGAAAAGAGAAAAATTTAACGAAGCTAAGTAAGCTAAGTATAACATATAGGGTGTTATATTAGAAAAAAAATGTTTTCTTTAATTTAGTGATTTCCATTATTCAATTGTTTTTTCTAATACTCTATTAAGTATAAAAATTCATAAAAAAAGCTAAAACATTTGTATTAAAAAATTATTTGTAATTTCAATAATAAACTCAATAAGTTGTCAGATTATAGTTACTAACCCTGTACATTTCAACAACTGGAGCAGACTTTCGATCCTGTCTTTTGATGGAGGTAATTTCTGACCCAGAATCAACTAAAGTCATGGCAGAAGTGCATTTGAAACAAAACCCCTATAGTCTGGTATGTGGCCATTTCAAATATGCAACGATTTCTCTTCAAGTATTTATTTTATTTATGAACACGGCACATTTCCCATTAGTATATCTAATGAAAACTCTACAATTATTAGTAAACTTAGATCATAAAACAGGGTATATTCAATATAATGTATATGAAATGACAAATGTTCTCCGAGTATAAGTCTTACTGGCAGCAATGTTAATGATAGGACAACCTTTGTCTCCTATATTTTACACTGCTGTATTTAGTTTTTCTTTCTTCTGTAAGCTTCCTGAATGACCAACAGAGGTAACCAAAAAAAAAAAAAACTATTAGAGAATCAGAATAAAAAACAATTGTTTTGTACAACTGTTAATAATGAGGTTGTTAGCGTAATAAGAATTAAGAAGAAAAGTCACATAACATACAAACATACAGACCTGTAAATAATGCCATTTTTCTCAAGAATGGCTTTCTGAAGGCAATTTTCTCAAGAGACAATATTTTTTTAAAATAAAACTACCTTTTCAATGTAGCTGCCCGTTTGAAAAAATATGACCACTGTAAAAGTTTTGACTGCTAAAAGGGAGAGGTAACCGGAGAAAACTATCACCCAGTATATCGATTTGCAAAAACTTTAAGAAATAATACGCCATAATAGTCCAAATAAATGTGCCAATTTTAACGCGATTGGTAAAAGGGTTATGAAGTTATTAATTAAATTAGTTTTATTTTTGACAACTTTGAAGGCCTCTGTCACACAAAAACCAAAAAGTTTTTATTTAACTTTTTTTTGTAGATCGTATTTATTCATAATCGTGAATATACAGTCAAACGTTGTTGGTGGAATTTGCGGACATCTTGTATTTATAAAAAAAATAATTTGTCAAATGTTTTTGGCTGTCTTTGTATAATTTTTTTCATTTGATCATCATTTTGCTCACTATATCCACAAATAACTTAGTAATATGAGTTCTTTGGTATCTATTTCAAATATACTATTAGAATAAGTTGTTACAATTTGTGATATTTTGGTCTCAAAGTAGTGGAATAATCTGTTACAATACTCTGTCAATATGGGCTCTAAATCATACGTAAATTTTAACAAATTTGGAAGTAAAATATTAACTATAAGATTTTTATCCCAATTTTCTCAATTCATTTTAGTTTTGAATTGAAAAAATACATCGTCCTACCATATTTGAAAATATGATATATTCTTTAAACTTTTAGCTGGAAAATCTTGAATTTGAAAGTATTTAACACGTTTTTGTGAAAATAAGTGCAACATATTAAAATCAAACATAGTACATCAAAATTTAAATTTTCAATAATGTTGCAGCAATATGAAGTTTGAAAAGTAGAAATTAGTATCAAATTAAAATTTAAATATGTACAACAACAAACAAAATGTAATTTCCTCAGGAATGAAAAAGATTACTCTATCAGTTGATCAGTAAATACTTTGCTAATATGTCTGCAACCCTTGTCGGTATTCCAGAGCCAACAGCTTCTATTTTAATTTTTAATTTCGTAAATTCCGTAGCCTCAAGGGTATTAAGCTAATTTGAATAAACTTGAAAATTTTTTTCCTAAAAAAGAGGATATGTAACTACTAACTACAGAGTAGTTGCTTCTTCCCAATATTATTTTATTCAAAAGACGATACAATCGTACCCTCGTAGCCTAGGTTTTTGATATCGATGAACTTTGACTTCATTTGATAAGATTTTTTAGAAAACAATTTTTTGAATTTATCTGAATTAATACTTTTATAATAAAGCAAAAATATAAGAGCCAGTAATAAAATAGATTTTTTTAGTCTCATTATTAGTTTTAAACTTAAAATGATAAATATAAAAAGAAATGAGGTCGGTACAATCAAAACTTTCAAGACAATAAATATAGATAACTGTTAAAACTAATTTTCATTGAAAAAATATACATAAAATTCTTGTACGACATGACCATCGTGTGGATGTAAATGCAGATGTAACTTTTTTTCTTTCATCGGTATTTGTACTTTTAATAAAACTATATGCCTATTGTTAAATGTACTTATTGTACTTACTGCTACTACTTTTACGTTATCTGAACAATTATGCTCTAATAAAATAAATACTAAAAACTAAAACTAAGTTAAATATATTGCACTGCCTCTACTAACAAATTAACTAATTTAGTTACCTGGACGTCACAGAAGAACACATTCCGGAAAAAGAATTGTGACCACGGACTGTTTTGAAACACTTAGCTTAGACTAAGGATGTGCAATACAATGTAGCGAGAAAACATTCAATTCAACTTTAACAGGGTTTCTTTTCATAAAAGAATAAGTATTAGACTTAGTATTACATAAAATTAATAACAGGAGTATTTGATTGTGTATAAAAATTGTTTTTAAATGTACATATTTTATTTACTAACTTCAAGATATTTTTAATCATTTGAATTTATTTATAAATTTTAAACTGACTGATACGCAGTATTCCAGTTATCGTCTGTACATTAAATTTTAATTGATATTTATTTAATAATAAATTTGATTTTATTCCATCAGTGTTTCGTATTATAAACTGTAAAATGGTTGTGATATTTTTATTATTTATGATATTAAAAATATTAAATTTATGTTGCAGCATTTAATTTTTATGCCTTTTCCAGCTTTATCGCGTTTTAAATCTATTTTATTTCAATGTATTTTATGTGTTTATGGAAATATAGTGATGTATATACATGGTGTTAGAATAAAATGAAGAGCAAATCTATTTCTAATATTTTTTTGTGCAATTGCAGGGTGTTTATGATGGGAGAATATTAATAAAATATATACAACAAAGTTGTGCAGATTTTCTAACTACTAGCAAACATTTTTTTTATGAAACTTGCAAATCAAATACAGGGTGTCAAAATTTTTGAAAAATTAACAAAATATTTCACATAAATTTAGGTTGATGATGATTAATTAACAGGGTTCTATAGCAAATAGGCAACCAGCAATACATTTTTATAGATTTTATTACAAAGTTTGTCTATATATGAATTAATGCACAAATAACAGTTTCCCTCATTTTAACGCAAATTTTCTATAAAATGGACTTAGTTTGAAACTCAAATAACTTTTTAGTGTAAAGAAATCTACAATTTACGATACCTACCGCTTGTACATAAGCCCCAAATTACAAATTTCTTTAAATCAAAAAATAAATTTGAATTTTAAACTAACTCCATTTTATAGAAAATCTGCATTAGAATGGCGGAAACTCTGTTATTTGAGCATTGAATCATATTTAGACAGACTGTGTAATAAAATATATAAAAATGTATTACTGCATGGTTACCTATTTGCTATAGAGCTCTCTTAAAGGTGCAAATATACTGCATTATTTGATATTAAGCCAAGCAGATATTTTGAGACAATGCCTCTAAAATTTTTTCCGAGATAGGTACTTTTAGAATTATGTGTACTTACTCCGCGGTCGAAATTATACAGAGTGACTCATCGCTAGCTTTTGGACTAGTAAGGGGGATGAAGCGTGCCGGGAACGAAGATCCATTGGCGTGTCTGCGTAAAAGGCAACAAGATATAGAAAATATTGAAAAAAGTTAATAAAACATAACATCTAATATTTTTTTACGGTTTGCTATAACCGGCACTTTGATCCATTTAAATTATTACAGCATTTTAAAACGTCCCAGTTGTGTTTTTTTAAGGAGGAGGGCCTCTAAGTCCATATGATAAAATAATAGGGTAGCATAAACGCCTTGTTTGCATAAACGCCTAACTATTTGCCAGACTACTACCCTTGAGCCCTTTTACATATTAATTCGCTCATACCCTGCCCCCCCAAACAGTACCCCCTCCCCCGCTGATTTTATTGAAACTACTCTTAGCGTTACCCAGAAACGACGTGGACGTGGTAGGTATTTGTTTCTTTTAGGGTGCTTTATTAACGTGAGTCCCCTTGCCTCTCACTGGGGTGTTTTATTAACGTGAGCGGAGGGGAGGGGTACTGTTTGGGGGGGGGGCAGGGTATGAGTGAATTAATATGTAAAAGAGCTCAAGGGTAGTAATCTGGCAAATAATTAGTCACTTACAAGGCGTTTATGCTACCCTATTATTTTATCATAGGGACTGTGGAGGGAATAGGACTATGGAGTGAATAAGGGGGGGGGGGTATTTGAGGTTCCGTTTAGGGTCAAATCGATTGTTTATGACCTATACTTAGTGGCGAAAAAAAATATTTTTTTTTTGAAAAAAAACAGAAGGGGCCGAAAACCGGCCTTAGAGGCCCTCCTCCTTTATAAATTTATTATAGACATGGAATTAGACCCCTCGTCTACGCTTATGCTACGACGTTTCTCAGGACGGGTAAATCAAGTCCGTTTACACTCACTAAAAAAGCATTTCTCTATTCCCTACCAAGTGCGAAAGACAGAGATAGAATATAGATCGACGTTTTGTGTAACTCAGTCTATAGACGATTATAGATTCTATCGATGTGCGTAGCGAGCGGCACAAAGATAAATAATATCGAACCGTATAAAAATCATTTTATGTTTTATACGCATTATGGTAATAGTGTTTTTATATTATGTCTGAGTCACTCCCTACAATTTCTACCGCGGAGTATAGTGATTTATTCAACTGCAAGGCAAATTTATTATTGGATTAAAAAAGAAAACAACTAAAAAATGGCTCATTTTACAAATAAAGTATAAAATATTGCAACATTCCTTTTATATTTGACACTATATCATGTCGGCCAAAATTGTTGGGCAACCGGTAGACGTTTGCAGGGGCGGATTCAAAGATGGATTTTAGAGGGGGGGAGTTTGCATAATTGACGTCTAAGAAAAGAGATGCATCGCCCCTCCCTTGGATGCGCGGCTGGACGTTTGATTAGGTTAGATTAACTGAGAACCTTCGAGCATATACTAAATATTATTGGGGGTAGCATGCCATCGCGAAAAGTGTGGTTTAGTGTGCGAGGAGAGACATACAGTATCTCAGTACATGCTGTCCCACTCTAGCACTCCGCGATTTGTTGGAAATTAATCCATGCTCCAACAATCGCGGCGTGCTAGAGTGAGACAGCATGTACTGAGGTACTGTCTGTCTCTCTCGTACATTCATCCACACTTTTCGCAATGGCATGCTACCTCCAGTAATATATGCTCGAAGGTAATTACTTATTTTTAACAAAATTTTGCATACCTACTATGATTCTTTTTATTTTTTCTTAAATCATCCTTTTTCGTTTTTATATACCATTTTTGTAATATAAGATGTGATTATTTTTCATTTGGATAATTTATTTTTGATTGACCTAAGGTATTATGACGTCTCTTCCCATAGATCTAAAACTATATTAGATCTATGTCTTTTCCCGACTATATCACTAACATTTTAAATAGATACCCACTAAACACGAAACGTAAATGAAACGTTGCAAGTGAGATGTTTTACTGAACATTTGAAACATTAACTAGAAACGTTTCTGTTTCATTACAGAAATGTAGCACCTGAAAACTTATTTAGTGAAACATAGCCGAAACGTTACAATTGAAGAGAGTTTGAAACATTACTCGAAACATTACCTTTCGATCTCGGAAACATAACAGACGAACAACCCTTTGCTATTTTTGCTTATTTTATGGAATAATCGGCATTAGTTAAATTTTGCTCTCAATCTTTCTCAAGTGTTAGTTCATTTGCCTTTGTTTATATAGACATAATTAGAAAAAAAAATGTGTAGCATATTTATAACACAAGTCTAGAAAAAATGTATGTTCGTGACTTGCGTAGACTGCGCGTAACAGCCCGAGTTTATTTGTCGTTTCAATTCGTATTATGTTAGGTTAGGTTTGCGGTTTGTCAGTTTGCTTGGTTTCGTTGTTATTCATCTTTACTTTGACGCTATTTTATGTGATAATTTGTAGTGTGTGCAGTTGTGGTTATTGTAAGGTGCATATAAAATAATGAATATTGATGCAAAATGTTTAAAACGATATGTGTAGAGATTTCCAATTTTGCGTCACATCTACCTAAATATAGTTATTATACCCACTACCTATTACAGACAAGGGACAAGAACTAAGAAAATGGGACAACAACTATACGTTTCGATATAATTTGAAGAGCAACTACTTAGTCAGTGAGAACTATTTGAAATATGGATGAATCAAGTGAAATGGACGTCATTTATTTTATATTTTGTACAAATGTTTATATTTGTTTATGTATTATAGGCATGCTTAAATAAAAGAGTTTAGGTATACCTACAGATATTTACTTTGTCAAGATATCATTTTGTATCCTTATTTCTGCTGTATAATTTATTATTATTAAAAGGATATATGTAATATTGACCATGCGTAGAAGAAATTATAACTTTATATTATTTTTCAGTAATGTTATTTGTTTTTCATGTACCTACCATTTCAAGATTCATAATCATAACTAACTTTTTCTAATTATCAGTTCGTCATTGTGACCATATTCATGATGGTCTCAACATTAGAAAATTTCTATTTCAGAAGCGTATTATTTGAACAATATAAAATGTGTAGCTTTTTTTTAATGCTTCTGATATTGTTTTGTGATATTTTTATTTGTACGATGAATGACAAAATTCGTAATCCATATTAGAAACTTTTTTTCAGTGGCTTCTCAAAAAGAAAGAAATTCTTAGTAAAAGTTGCCGCATCCCCAAACTAGAAGAGCATATTTATTTTTTTAATATACAATGTACCTTTTTTTAGTTCGAATTAAGTCATTCACAATACAAATAAAAATATCACAAAGGAGTATTAGAGATATTTAAAAAAATACACTATTTATACTATTTCAAAAACGCTTTTGAAATGAAAATGTTCTAAAGTTGAGAGCATTATGAGAACAATATGGTAATAAAATTATTATGTTACTGAAACATTTCTGAAAATATACTAAAACGTAAAACAAAAATATCGGGGGCATAAATGGAACATAAAAAGAATGTTACTGAAACTAATTTTTTGAAACGTTTCATTGGAAACGTATTTTGGGGAGGACATCTTGGGCTTCTAGAACGTTAGCAGAAGGTTGCATGGATTTTTTATGAAACGTTTCAAGAAAAATGGAAACGTTTCTGAAACATGTCAGAAACTGAAAAATGTTTGGTGGGTACCTATCTATCAGATTGACAGAAATCTTTTGAATGATTCAAATCAATTTTCAGTAAATTACTAGTGACGTTTCACATGCCTTATTTCGGGTTTAAACCTTCACTGAAGATAAGAAGACGGTTTTTTGTTAAAAACGATATTCGTATTGCCCTTTTGACCTAGTCTGGATCTGATAAAATATGTTTTATAATTAGTGGACACGAGCAGAAAAATAATGAAAGCTCAGTTGTTAATTGGGTTGTTTATTCTTGTTTTGCAATGCTATGCACTGTGCAATTTCAAAAAAATAGTGGATCTAACTTGGAATTTCGATAATGATTCAGTAGCCTGGCCGGGGGTTCAACCTTTCGAGTACACAAAACGTGTAGAAAATGAAGAGAGAGGATATTGGTGAGTAGGCAATAAAATAATCATAAATAAATTATAAATAAATTGATTAATACACTTTTGAGATGATTAGTATTTTGTTCCGAAGAAATAAAGAAACTTCAGTATTTATGTACTATATTATATAACTCTGCGGTCGAAATTATAGAGAGTGATTCATACATAATATAGAAACACTATTACCGTAAAGTGTATAAAACTTGATTTTTATAACGGTTCAATATTATTTGCTTATTTTAAATGATGTAGGTACCGCTCTCTTTGCACATTGATAGGATCTATAACAGTTATAGACTGAGTTACAGTGAACGCGATTTATTTCCTATCTCTGTCTATCGCATTATTACAGATAGGGAAATGCTCTTTTTAGTGGGTGTAAACGAACGTACGTAGAATTCGAGTTAGCCGCAGTTAGAAACGTCAAACTATAAGCGCGCGCGAGGGTTTGCATATTCCATGACTATAGTAAATTTATAAATTAAAAAAATACAATCGGGACGTTTTAAAACGTAGGAATAATAATTAAAATGGATCAAAGTGCCGGTTGTAGCAAACGGTCTGTTGCTCATAAACGCCCTAACCTATGCGATGCGGAATTAATAATGGTAAAAAACGTGTATAAAGGAATTCGGTCGCGAAATTCTAATACAAGTGTAAGTGAAGCTGTTGATATGTGTAGTTCGTTGACAAAAGTATCCGTTGCTACTGTTTATCGTGCCATAAAAAATAGTGTAGAAGTGAATCCAAAGAAGAAAAAAGTGGAAACACGAGGGAGGAAGAAAATAGAAGTCGACGTTGACGTGAAATACTCCATACGTAGGAAAATTCATGGATTTTTCTTTAGAAATGAAATACCAACGATAAAGAAAATTCAAGCTGCAATAGCTGAAGATGAGGATATTCCTAATTTCTCTGATAAGGTTCTTAGAAGAATAATGCGTGACATGAATTTTCGATATTTGAAACGGAATCGGAATAGTATGCTCGTTGAAAAAGACGAAATTGTGGTATGGCGAAGAGAATACTTAGAAAAAATAAGAGAACTTCGTGCATCTGGTAAGAAGATATATTACATGGATGAAACATGGGTAAACGAAGGTCATACTGTATCAAAAGTTTGGCAGGATGGTAATGTTAAGAGTAAGAGACAAGCATTTTTAGATGGATTTTCTACTGGATTAAAGGCACCTTCTGGAAAAGGACGAAGATTGATTATAACACATATTGGAAGCGATACGGGATTTTTAGAAAATGGTTTGCATGTATTTGAGTCACGAAAAA